CCTGACACACCTTTTGTCCCCCACTCCACTTATCCCAGGCTGGAGCCGCCACTGTCTTCATTCCCTTTTCCTTTGGACGAAGAGTTTTTTTTACTTAGCATTTATTTTGTTTTATCTTTTTTACCCATGGTGGCCCGCCAGCCAAAGGACTGGTTCACGGGAGTATGGTTATACGGGAATGTACAGGAGTTCAGATTTTTACTAAAAATTGGAACTTAATCTAGGCATAAGGGAAATTATATAAAATGATTAAGGTTAGCAACAGGAAAAGCACTCTTTGGTATTCAGTAGAAAGAGGGGGCTTTTTGCTAAAATCACATACGATGAGACAGACTTGTTTAGCTTGAAAGGTGGTTGCTGTATTTGTAGCTATCAATGCTAATAAAAAATATTTTGGTTTGCCTGCAACCAAACCTGTCACCCACCCTCTGTAATATCATTGAATAAATATCAAACTTTCAAGCGAATACCACTTAGTTAATTATACTGTTATTGTTACAAGTTCATGGGCTCTGACAAAGGTTGAAAAGTGGGGGGGGGGGGCAAGGGAAAATTTAACACCCATAACAAAAGATTTTGAAAAAACTCTATTGTTTTGCAAAAAAGTGGGGGACCAAGGCCCCCCGGCCCCCCTTTGTCGGAGGCCCTGAAGTTGGTGTTAATTAGCTGTCTATTAGCTATAATGTGCAAACCAACATTAATAAAAATGAATAAAAAGCAAGGGTAACTGGCTCATATGATTTTATTCCTAGATTATCTCCTTCACAGTTTAGGTTTGCCCTCGCAGTAATATGAATGAATTTCGGACTTAACAAAAATAAGCTTTGGGAAGTCTTGTTTACTCCTATCCAAAAAACCTAATTAACAAGGCCTACACTAGTTTGAAAGTAGATTGTCAAGGCTAGCAAAAGTAGGGGGCCAAGGCTTTTTCCCCTTCTACTGCAGCTTTAAAACTACTTGCTTCGCAAAAAAGTGGGAGGGGGCGATGGCCTCTTCGCCCCTCCCCGGTGGCGTGGGCCCTGATGAAGCCTTGCTTTGTGGTGCTTTTCTGCTTTACATTTTTCATTTGCTTTTCTGCAACAACTAATCTCGACGCCCAAATATGAGAATATCCATGCTAGGTATTAAGCAGCTTCATAAGAGGAGTTTTTTGTAAGTACGAGAATTTCGTAAAAGCCTGATTCAAGTTGCGCATGACAACTACACTAGCTTAACTGACAAAACGTTTTGTCAGTTAAAAATTAGAAGATCTGATGAATGGTCAGATTCATCTAGGCCTAGTTTATAATGGCCATGTTGATCTTCTAAAAGCCTAGTTTATAAACCAATATCTTCTCAATATCCTGGTTTTCTTCCAGATAAACTCATATCTGTTAAACTAATCGTTTTATCTGTAGATAACCCGACTATTCTGCGATTAGCCACTGCCATAAAAAGGACTTAGCGATATCACGAAACGAAACACCGATATTAAGGCAATCGCGTGGTGATTTTTTCAAGATCATCTTTTCAAAATAGATCGTACCCTTCATGAGAACAAGGGATGTTTCAATTTCTACGCTAAGATGATTCCGCTTGCCCTCTCTGTGTGTTCTTTTATTCAAATTGTACTCATCTTAATACACTGATTTCTCTAACTTAGTTGAAGAGATTTTCTCAAATATTACGCAAGGGTTTCATATTGCTCCTTCACACAACGCCAATAAGGCAGTGTTGCACATTCATATGGAGCTTGAGAAAGGTTTTCCAAATCTTTTGGACCAGTTTTTGGCAAAGCTTTTCGACTGACTGACTCAGGCACCGCGGAGCGTTGAGAAAAGTGAGGGATCTAAAAAAGGGGGCATAAAAGAGGCTTTACTGGTGGTTTATTACTTGATATTTGGCATTTTTTGCAAAAAGTGGGGGGCTAAGCTTCCAGCCCCCTAGCCCCCAGCCCCCCTGCTCCGCGGTGCCTGTGACTGACCAATGTCCAAAGGTTCTTCTTTAAATTTTGAATAACAAAATGAGGAGTGTAGTTAGAAATTTGCTACAGCTTTTATGACCAATTTCCTCAATTCTACATTGAAAAAAGTGTACATCTTGGACGAACTGTTAAATTGTGATGATACCATAACCATGGCGCCCCCTGCGTTTGGAAAAATAAACATGATACCTGTCAAATGCATTTACAAATAGGCAACAACAGCTCACCTGGACACACACATAAATCCTGTTTGGAGGAAGATTTAAAGTTGTTGTGATAATCAGTACTATTTTCCTAATTATAACTTCCTAATTAACTGAAGGCATCTGTGTTTTATCCATCTAGCGTATTTGGAATCCAATTGGATTTCTTGAGCTTAAATGCCTGCTAAATGTCATCAGTTATTTGGGAGTTCCCAGTTGATCAACATTTGTTTAACTGCATCCATACAACAAGGGCCAACAAGAACCTGAGGCGATTCTGTATTATTTATCTAAATATACTTCGATAAAATTTAATCTAACCAGAAACAAAAACATAAGTTGTATAATAGTGGTCACCATCTGGACATCAAAAGTGCGATGAATTTGTTCACTTTTGGTTGAATATTTATATTGTCAGGCTCTGAAGAATCGATTTGACTAAAATAGGCTGTTTCACTTGCATTTTCTTGCCGACATTAACCAAAACTCGTCTGCTTCTTCTCATGTCATGTGCTTTTCCGGGGTTATAACTATCAACAAACATCATTATAGTGTACCCAAAAGGGCGGAAAGTGGATATATAACAGTCAGTAAAGTTTTTTTTCTTTCAAGTCATTTGTAAGTACAGTTTTACTTCAGTACCCTGCAAGAGGTGCAGCCAGAGAGGATGTAGAGGGATTCACGCATTCACACACAATTTTTTGACTTTTCACGCATTCACGCACGGCAAATTTGGATTTTCACACACACGCTAACAATAAATGTAATATCAGCTATTGCTCGTCAGAGCCCTGTTTGGAGGACTACAACACTATTTTTAGACTTTGAATGTCTAGTCTTTGCTAGCTCTACAATAAGCAGAAACAACAGAAAATTTAATAGTGACTATGGAAACTACAGAGACTCATGTTTGATATGACTCAACAAAATACTACTTTGAGATTTAACTATTGTTGGTTTATTATGCACAAAATTGAGGCAAATTTTAATTTATTATTCAAAATTTCATTTACATATTCACGGAAAGTTAAAGCCTTTTCACGAAATATCGTAAGGAAAACTCATGTTTCAAGCTGCAAGAAATTCATGAACTCACGCATAAAAAATCGAGATTTCACGATTTCTCGCACGAAAATATGACCAATAGCACATCACGCAAAACTATTTGGGGGGGGGGGTGGGGGAGGGGGCCTTGAAGAGGCTGATTATTGACCTACCCTGGCAAGGCTTGATTTTAAAGGCAAGGATTCGGAGGAGGGTTGACATTTTGTTTTGTTGCCACACTCTTCAAGTGATTTGAAAATGATGGAAAGGCCAATTTTGCCTATTGACTTATATTTGCACTTTGTAGCCATGGTGCGAAAGAGTTTTATCGAAGAGCAGCTAAAAGCCAGTTCGATTTCTAGTAAATAAGTACTTAAAAGATACAAGAAATAACTGATTACTAAATTACAAGAAAGTTACTAATCTAAAGGAAAAGTTTCATCATTTAAAAAAATCGTCAAATGTTCACAATCGGTTACATCATTTGTGTCCAATCTTCATTAACGAACATATTTTGCTCTGTTTCCTCTGTTCTCTCAAAACCTTCCAGTGAATACTCTATAGCCTATAGGATTAATAATTCTGAATATTTAAGGTCATGTCTTATTGAATTATTAGTAGACCGCTTAGAATCAGTCTTTGTTAAAATCAGTCTTCAACAAAACATCTGAATGATCAATCAATTTTCCACCCCTTTATTCTTGGGATATTTAGTGATTTTTTCTCAATAAAAAGTATTATGTGTTATCTGACTTGGAGATGATTATCGGCATTTATTATTTCACAAATAATCGAAGGAGAAACAAACATTTGTTCTACTTTAGGATTGCTTTTCCTTTTAAACGTCTGTATGGCTGGTAAATCAATTTATTGACCCCAAGCTGGACAATAACAGGGGTCAAAGCCCTTCCCCTTCAGGGACCTCCAACTTGCCTTAGATTCGTCGGTTGCACTATTAAGCAAAATTTCAGGTGATTGAGGAACTTTCCAAAGTCTGTCAATAAATATATAAAATAAGTACATATTCTTAATTTTCTATCTTTTGAAAGAAAACGATAACGTTTTTTCGTCCAGGATACAAACATTATTAAATGTCTCCTCGACATGTATCCTTGGGTGGCAATAGGCCAGTACAAAGGGCCGTCCCAGGGTCTCGAGTTTTAGAGGGCCTCATACAGGCACCGCGCAGCCATTGGGCTTGCAGGGGCTACAGCCCCTTCACTTTTTTGCAATGACATATTAGAAAATGTTTTACTCTAGAAAAGGTTAATACTAACTATGCTCCAATGCAACGTTGGATAGTAAAATCCTACACCTAAGTAGTAGCAGTTCTTCTTGACTGGAACCCTTTTGTTCATTTTCTAGGTGTTTTTCTTGATGGTTTATTATCCCCAAGCAAATTTTATCTTTTTTATAGCTATTGATATTTTCTCTGAACCAGACTGTTTATAAAACCGCAGTAGAAATAAGCAAGTATTTTCTGCCTCAAACAATTTCGGTCACGCCCTTTTCAGCCCTCCCACATTTAGACTGGTGCGCGGCCCATGGCCTCATAAAGTAATGAATTCCATTTTAAGAATGGAATTTGTCAAACTTGGCAAAACTGTGCTTGAAGATAGTAAACCGTTTTAAACGATTGCGAGAACTGACTGCAAGAAATATTCTGAAACGCATTTAAAGCTTATTTGAAGATATTTTAAGTGCGCGGTCTGTTCGTTGAGTAGGATTTTCTATTGAGTTGAATAGATTTTGTGTGATCATACACCAAGAATCTTTCCCAGGCTTATAAATAGATTTTCTAAATATGGTTACCTGAGTGGAGAGATCAAAACAAACTGTCGAGCTTTGTACGGTCCAAAGAATTATTTCCATGAAGCCGAAAATACCATAAGGGTAAGCTTTGTTTTGAGTTAGGTGCGGTTGTTACTACTATTTATTTCATCTTAGGTTTCTTTCGCAGCTGTCGTTTAACTGGACATATTTCATATTTAAGATCTCCTTGAAAAGTCTCGTCTCCATTAGGCCTATGACGCAACCTTGGGCATGTATCATTACTGCGGAATTAATTGTTGGTATTGTGCAGAGTTCATATGCAAGGAATTTAAATATACTCTCTGTACAGTGCAGTATTGACCGTTTGTTTTTATTGAAGTTTTTCGAGTCTATCTCAGTAGGAAACACGAGAAGCAATCGCAAAAAAAATTATGTGAATTTGAATATTTTTCATTGAAATTTAGAATTCACCTACAGAATACCGCAAGTAATAAAAATTGATTATCATAAGTTAAAGAAGAGTATTGGCATTCCCTGTTGATAAATAACTTCATTTGCCAAATGTTTTCATGGTATAATTTATGCCTATGGGGAGGCATAGTATTATTTGATGTTGTTGCCAATATTTCTTTCAACTAAGTATACATGTTTAATCAAAAGGCTCATTTATCAGTTTCAAATGATGGGATATTGCATTCATCTTGATTCAATGGCTGGGTATTATAAAAGGAAATAGACCTTCTGGGATGAAATCCAACCAATTTCAAGTGACAGATTTACGATTTACAAAAAAATGGAATTGTCATCATGAAATTTAATTCTTTAGCTTGCCAGTTATCATATTTAAACGATTGCAGATTAAATCTGTTCTTTTAAGATGTAGACAATTGCATATATAGTACTTGCTATCATTTTTAAAGATTGGTCAGAAATATGACACAGCATAAGTGTGATAGTCCCAGTTAAAGGTAGCTTCTAAGGAGCTTCCATATGCTTGTTACCATATTCATTTTTGATACTACTTGTAAAAACCATGAAAAGACAGTTTTTGTTACTTAAAATTGCACAGACTGTGGTACTAAAGGCGCATTTATGTATTAGGTGAATAAAAAATGCTGCTGCTGCTGCAGAATATTTATATGTAGTTAATTTTGAGTTGTTTTTATTTGTGATATATATATATATATATATATATAAAAAAGCGCTTTACTATTTTAAGGCATACTTTGTTACTTTTAATCAAATCCATTTTAAAATTATGGAGTTCATTACTTTATGAGGTCCCCTAGATCTCAAGGCCTTGGTATAATTTGCCCTCCTTGTTCCCCCCTCTCGACTGCCCTGCCTATGAGATGGAATCATCCATATCGATTTTTGAATCATTCCCACAGTGTTAGTTAATGTAAAGCTCGGTTCTGAAATCCTGTTAAAACACAAACAATTTTGCTCCTTCAAATCTGGCGTGTTGCAGATTAGGTGTATATCTGTCCAGACATTACCGGCTTTTTCATGTTTATGTAGATGGATTCTAAAACTGCTAGATGGGACAATGATCAGGCTCTAGCAATAATCTGAAACGTGTTGCCATTAGGTTAAACCAATGGGGTTATTGGTAGAGTTAGATTGTTGTTCCATCTAGCAGTTTTGGAATCAGCCAGAAACTGCATGCTTTATCTCACATTTTGATTTTCGCGGAATCCAAAAAAATAAAATTGATAATGAACACTTTTATAATGTCACAATTCAGCTACTGCCCATTAATTTGGATGTTCCATGACACAAATATTAACAACAAGAAAAACAGGATACAGGAATGGGCCCTTCAAATTGCATACAAAGACAACACATCTCCTTACGACATATCTTTACATAAGAAGAACCTACAGTTGCTCATGGTTGAATTTTACAAAACAAGTAATCACTTGATGAATTCTTCGTTAATGATGGAAATGTTTGAGGAAAAGGCTGTATAAACTAAGAAGCTCAAGCAATTTAAACCTACCAAAGGTGAAAATCACATGCTATGGTACAGATACCGTAAGGTTCATGGGTCAAAGAATATGGGCAAAATTACCAAAGAAGTGAAAACTTCAGTCTGCTCTGCAAATGCATCTTTCACTTAACTATCCTTTTCCAAATTGACTGAAGTTTTTGACTACCATAACACAAAGTGCTTGACAGGCAAAAAATTAATTGAAGAAAATGCAATGACAGGATAAATGGCGATTACACAAATAAACCAATTCACTTAAAAATTGGTTTAACCTAATAAACCAATTTTCATGGTTCTGTGAATTCTGAAAAGGGCAAATGAATGTAAAGTTTAGGGGGCAATTTTGTTCTTCATGTTCTGTTTAGGAGAGCAATTCACAGCTGGCCTCAAGTTGTGAAGGAAGCACAAGCTATCGATTGCCTTAAACAGCCAGGCCTGAACTTGTGCAAGAGAAAGCCTATGACACCAGATAAAGCTTTTGAAATCTTCTTCAGGTCCCTATTTGCTTGTAGAACCCCCCAGGCGCAGTGGGTCCAGGGAAGTGCAGCCCTGTCAATTGGGTCCTATTTTGATTTTAGCAATAAAAGGGTTACCTTTTAGATCAATTAGAATGATTCTCGAAGCAATATTTCTAATGGTATATTGATTGAAATATAATTTTTAATATGTTCTTTGCAATTTCAATTTTTGCTTTGTATTTTGTATCATGAGCCAGGGCATGAAAAAATGTTTCCCTTCTTGCGACCAGACAAAAATCATGCATAAATTTCCTGTGAGAATGAAAGCTATATTTGTTTGGTATTCATGTTTTTCTTTTGATGAACATGAAAGAAAGAAAAGTGCTTGCAAAAAGAGTATGTTATAAAAAATTTCTATAGAACTTTATTCATCAACAATTTTCTGTGACTGTCTGGTCAAATGATGGGGTTGGTTTTCATGCCCTGTCATGTCCCTTCTCTTTGTAACTGTTTTTCTATTGTTGATCTTAAATTTCCACATTTCAGGTTTAGTCCAGGGTTTATAAGAATTATGATGCTTCCTGTGATATTGTCCTGTAAATGTAAATGCTTTTATTTTTATAAAATTTTAAATTATACTGAACTGGTTGTTAAACCAAAACCTTCAAATCATTATGTTCATTATTTGAAAGTTTGAATATTAATTGCTATCTCTCATACTCTTAGCCTGTTTATCTTAAGATGTTTTGGGTTTTTGTTGCTAGTGAAAAGAATTTTTATTAATTTTTTTTTCAGTATGTGTGGTACTACAGTCCTCTTTACAGAGCAAATTTTCACAACACAAAAAGGAAACTTGACTGACAGTTGACATTCAAGTAAACAAAATGTCATTCCAGTCATTACATTACCAACGTGTGCTATCTGAGGAAGAACTAGGGGAAGAGGATCTCCCACCAACTTTTGTTTCAACAAAAGGAACGGATGAGAGAGGTATGTAGTTTCATTCGTAGAACCCACTTCAGCACCACTTCCATGGTTCCAGTACCTCTGCCATGTTCTAAGCAACCCATTTTCTTGCTGCTCTGTTTTCTTTTTGATCATTTTTTAAAAATATAACTTAACATTTTGTTACTTTGGTAACTGTAATATGTTTTTGTTTGGTGCAGCATCTTGACTGCTAACGCTCTAACCTATCGTGCAATTAAAGGCAACATCTAACTTGTGTGAAACCCAGGGGTTTTTTTCTGATGATTTTTTTCTAGTTCAGAGATTAAGAATCCTTGCTATTTTTGCAGAATTCGATTAAGAAGTCACCTTTGATAATTTTACTTCTGTCAAGTGTTCATTAGGCCAGAGTCACTGTTCGTTTTTTCATAACAATTGGAATATCTTTTTAGCCTGCTAAAAGAATCACATAAAGTTTAATGTGCTCAAATCTTATTATGCTCAAAGACAATAAAGTCTGTATGATCATCAAAAACCTATGCAAGAATTACTGTTACAGTACAACCATCAAGGTCCCTCTCAATGAAGGTAGTCTGTATGCTCTCCAATTATCACTTTTAATGGTCTGCTCTGGTATGCTCTGCAATTACCAATCTAATTAGAGGCGAGGATGGCTCAGTTGTTAGAGGCGCTGACTACAGACCCAAGGGTCCGTGGTCCGAGCCCCTGGCATGACCAAACTTTCACCCAGAGTGGGGAGAGTCGCCAGCTCTCTGTAATTCCAGGCGTAGGAATCACAGAGTGTGGTCACATCAAGAGGAAGGACCAGGACACTGCTAGATAAGCATAGCTGCTCAGTGTCCTAAGAACTATCTTCGGATGCTAGGTAGCAACAAATACAAATATAAATACAAATACAAATACTTGCCAAATAGTCCCTAATTTTTTCCTTGTAATTTAGTAATTGCCTCCCTGTTTACTTCTTCTGGCTTTTGTCCAGTTTTTGAGCCATGCAATATACCTGTTATATTTTCTAATTAAGTTTAGTATGAATGTTCCAACCAAAGTTGACCACAATCCAGCCTGACTGATAAGGCCATTAACAGCTTTTCTAAAATATAAAGTTTTGATTACAAAAAATCTACATCACCCAGCATAAACGGATTCCAAAATACAATTTGTTATGACAAAGCATTTTATGAAAGTATCCTGTGTCAAAATCTATTCATTGTAAATTTTTGGTTGAATTAATTCCTCCGAAATTCACTTTGTAGTATATGTGATAAAGCACTTTTGTGTCTTTCTACAAATGTTTCATCTTTCATATTTTTATGCATTTCACATTAAAAACCTCTCACCATTAACCATCATTTAAACATTTAATTTTTATTTCCAAATTTGATGATGCCATTGCAGTATAATTCTGTTCAGATTCAAAGCTTGGATAATTTTTCTTATGGTCTTTTTTTTAAAAAAAAGTTTGTTCCTTAATTTTTCTGTGAAATACGTGCATAGTTGAATATGGTTTGAATCTCCTTTTTTTGATTTGACATTACAGGCAAATGGAATCACATTGAAAATCTAGACGAATTCTTCGCACGTGTTTATCGATATCATCAACAGAGTGGTTTTGCCTGCATGGTTCTTAGTGAGATTTTCCAGCTTCTGTAAGTTTTTCTTTCATTCCTTGAAACACAGAACTTTACTATCATATCTTTTATTCTCAGATCTCTAACAATTATCAAGTGTGATCTGTTGGTGTATCTTGTCGTCGTAACTTCGTCGTCAAAGATAATTTTTTTTGATGGATTGTTCATTTAAACTTGTTTTGTTCTACTATCAACCTTTCTCTGATTTCAAGCTCGGCAATTTCATATCTAAATTCAAGCCTTTATCTATTTTTGTGGGTGTGCTCCACCTAGATCGTATGTTTTCTTCGCTTCTGAATGTTTGTATCTCTTGATTTTAATTCTGTTAGCCGGGGATGCTAAAAATGCTGTTATCTGTATTTAAACTTATTCTGCTAATTTGATCCTAAACGTCAGAATAAGGTTTCGAAAGAACACGATGGAAAATATATACCCAGTTGTGGATCGAAATAGCCCAATCAGAAAAACGCAAGCACAAGACCGGTATAGTTGACCAATCAGTGCCGCGAGCCTAAAGAAAAATTACCAATGGAGTCCAAGAGAGAAAACGAACTCCTTCTGTCTACACAATGGCGGCTTTTTCGTTTTCGTTCATGTAGATTGACTCCAAAACTGCTAGATGGAAGGACGACCGGGCTCTGCCAATTACCCGAATTATGTCGTCATTATAGAGTTTTGCACAATCTGGGTTGTCTAAAAGATGTTGAACGATGGCAGAATCACTTGTTTTAACCGTAGCCTTATCCGTAACCTTATAACGGCAACGCCTTTGTTGAGAGCCTTAGACAAGTCGGATTACAGAGTTAATTCCGCACGGAAACGTGGAACTGCCTTACTTCCCAAGAAAAACTAGGAGCCTTTCAATAACTACATTTATTATCTCAGAAATTATTTTCCGTTCGCCATTTAGGCAGTATCCGACGTTTAATACTCTTAGAAGTGTAAGACGAAAATTCAATTTCGTTATGCAGTTAAATGCATTCTTGGAACTTTTTTGAGCCGTGACTCTACATTTCAAGTGGTATTTTATCGGTTATGTTGACAACTTGCGTTTTGCCTGTTTTAACCCGAGCATCCTAAATACCTAACTGTTCACTTTTAATTTTCTTGATGGATTTATAAAAAAATTGGATCAAAATTAGGTATTCAATGCTAGCAGTTTTATTTGTGCTGATAAATCAATCCTGAATTTAAACGATCCTGGAAGGGTTTCGAATTCTCATCATCCTACGTCATGCTGTGGAAATTCTTTCAAACTTTTATATAAACTTTCAAAAATGGGTATTCTTATAAGAGCACCAATTCAAAAAGATTTTTCCAAAAAGAAGTTTGTATCCTAGACTGAAATTGTAATGAAATTGAATGAATCTCCGGGACTTTTTACTGGAATAACTCGTAAATTTATTTCGTTTGCAAATATGTGATAAGACTTTCATCGCGAAACTATGGCACGGAAGCGCCAGTCATCGGTTTGGGATCCACTGCCTTTTGTTCAATTATTGTCCCTTTCTATGAAGTCGCCAAGCTTTATTTTCGAGCAAGGACACCAAAGAGAATTCAATTAGAATTGTAGAAGTTTTGAATAGAAATAACAGGAGTTTGTTTTTATTTGAATTTTAGAGATGTCTCCAGGTGCAACACAAATTTTTAATAAAAACCAATTTTATTGAGCAGTCGAAACGTTGGTGGTCTAGGTATTTCAAAGAATCCGCATATTCTAAGTTATAAAAGCTTTCTGTAAAATAATTAACATCTGAACTTATTTCTATAAGAGTTTGCCAAAACACTTTTGAATTACGTTGTAGCTTTTATATGATGTAAGAGTATTTATATCTCTTTTCTGCATCTAAGCTACAAAATGCAGTCTCTTTTTAAGGATCTTTTCATTGGTCCTAAACGTATGGTTGAGATCTTTCAGTAGATTTGTCTACCACGGTGTTCTTCCTCATGGTCTTTTCCAATCTGCATTCGCATTCTCTTTCATTTGTTATTTGACCCACTTCTAAAAAGCTTCCTGTTCACGCACTTTTCTATTAAATCTCTTCCGTCAAGGTTATGCAATGCCTCATTGTTGTCTTTGCTTTTAAAACGATCTGCTTTGATACTGCTCGGTTTCCAAAGTGTGTTTCTAAATGTGTCTGTTCTCGTAGCAAAACAATGCGAATTTTAGACCAAATACTTTTCCGTTTTATTATGATAACGGGGTATTGTGAACGGGGTCGCTTATGCTGTACTTGAGACATTTGAGAAGGCAAAAATTGATTTTCATATAATAATGGGGTATTGTCAACAGAGCCTCATTTGCCTTTACATTCTAATTAGACTAAATATGGCAATAGGGTTCTCAGAGCCTTGTCAGAAAATTTATCTATGTTACACTAGGCTCCCGCATATAAGAAACCACTTTTTAAATTGAGGCCTCAGAACGTTTCTTATTTTAAGATACATTTTTATAATCATGGTAAAAGTTTCTTATATATAGGTTACACATTTTTTAAATAAGCAACTAAGCTTTAAGTGTTGGACCGTGTTTGGTTATGCCAAATTATGTTATTTATTATTAAAAGAAGCATGAACTGTTACAGTATTTTTCGGTACAATACTTGTTATAAAAAAAACCTTTAGTTTTGATAATTTGATTCTGTTTGAACACTACATTGCATTACAAAATTTAGGGGATTATTTTTTGGCATACAGGAATTAAGTATGACGGATCTGAAAAAAGGAAACAATTCAATTTCAGACCTAAAATTTTTTTTTTATAAAAGGAGCCTTTTGGAAAGAATTTGAGGCTGGTTTCTTATACAAGGGGGTTTCTTATATGCGGGAACCCACTGTACTTCCTCAACCGAGATAAAGGTGTTATGGAATGTCACGATATTTCGTTCGAACATTTTCTACTTGACATATAACGTATCAAGGCATAATTATTCTTTTTTAATCTTTCCAGTGGCGATAAAACCTGATTTGATTTCCCCGCACTAATATCGGATATATTTTTAATGATTCTCAACATCTTTACAACCCAGATCTAGCTGATTGAAAGTTTTGCAAATTTCCGCAAATTTTTATCAGATACCACCTTAATTCCCAATATAATCATGATTGATAACTTCACTGGAGAATATTTTTAATCCATAAATTTTATTTATTTTCCAGGCAATATGTGTTCATAGTTTTATTTAGTACATTTCTGATTGTCTGTGTGGATTATAAAAAGCTGTTTGAGGACAAGGAGCCTAAATGGGAAACTTCAGTGCGCTTTGAGAGACTTAAAAGGTATTTATGACCCTATTTGTACGCAAATGTTCTAAAAAGATTATATTTTGCATTCTTAGAGAATGCATTAATCTGTCTGTCATTTTGCTTATGTAAAATCGATAGAAAGTAATTTCCAATGTGATAGAGTTCTTAAGCGATGAAGTCTTAAAAACCTCTCATTGTGCTAAGTCATTGAGATGTGTTAAGCCCTGGCAAAACGACTAAACATTTCGCTAAACATTTCACTCAACTTTTGTTTAGTGAAGTTGAGCGAAGTTTAGCGAGGGTGGCAAAACGTGACTAAACTTTCACTAAACATCACTCAACTTTTTTGAACAGCGAGCTAGCTACGATGCTGTTGGGTTGTAGGGGATCTTGCATAGGAATGTGCTTTTGGTTTATTTTGTTGCATGCACAAGCAGTGGATAAAAATAAGAATCGAATGAAGCGACGGGGAAAGAAAAGACTTTTTAGCACATTGACAAAAAATACGACTGTTGAAGAAGACACAGTGGCGTAAAACGGGATATTCATATGTCTCATAAAGGCTTTTTGGGTCACGTACAGACAAGAAAACCAACGAAAACAGACGAAAACCTTTGGATTTTCACAGCTAGAGCGCCTGCGCGATCACAACAAATGTTTAATTGGTGGCAAAACGACTAAACATTTGCTAAACAACATTAAACAACGCTAAACATTTTTGACCAGGATAAAACTTTGCTAAACAACACTCAACACGACTAAACAACACTAAACAGGGTGGCAAAACGACTAAACTTTTCACTAAACTTTTAACTAAACAAAAATTGAGTGAAATGTTTAGTCGTTTTGCCAGTGCTTTACAAATTGGCTGAGATATGGCCTCATAAGCATAGCCTCTCCCCCCCTCCCCCATCAAATCACTGCAATTTTGTCTCTGTACGTATCTTAATTGCCGAAGCAAAAATAACACAGTAATCCATTCGTTAACATGGCCAGCCATTTTGAAACTGCACATGAAAAAACTTGAACCTATAGAAGCTAAAGATTTTTAAGAACAGCACTGAGAAAGAATTGTCTCTCCAGGTGCATTAACGATGGCATTGTCTCTCCTTTTGGGTTTCGTATAAAAAACCTACAATCTTCTAACGAGCCCACAAAATACATAGACAATGAGTATCTAAACCAGCGGAATTCTTTGAAAGATGTTTTGTTTCTAAGCGAAGATATTTAGTGTATAAACGTGTTTATTGAAATGTTGTTATTGAGAGGTATTTTTGACCAGGCAACTTTTATTTGTTATCTTATACCAAAACGGCATAAAAATTGTTTAAAATCATTTCAAGGTCTAAAATTCCCAGAAAAACGAGTACCTTACCTTGGGTTGTGCCTTATGTTGAATCCATATTGTACCTGTTTGCAATGCAAGTTATTCTGTTGCACCTGTTACTATTTGATCAACTGGGTGAATTTACATGATAATATTATAGAAGGAGGAACTAAACTGATGTCCTTTTTTTGACAAGAAACTCAAGAATAAATTCTTGAATTTTCAAACTGACTTGGAGATCCCAAATACGCTCCCAGATTATATCTTTTGATATTGCTCAACACTGTAAATGTTGTGATATTGTTGTTGTCCACTGTTTACAGTGGTGAGGGTAATGGAAACTTAAATGAATTTTTGCTCGCGATCAATTTCAAAATATGTATGAAATTGCAAGTGAATTTTACTTGTAATTGTCTCAGTTTTAGCCGTTTCATTTTGAATGTAAATGTAATTATGGCAAGTCCTTGTTCTGCAACGAAAGTTTATATAAATCTTCTGGATTTATGCACGGAGTCGAAATGTAGTTTTATTCTCTATTATTTTATTCTTTTATTCTCTGAGATTTGAAATTACTCTATTATTCTGAGATAATTGAGACTTCGGAAATTTAAACATGAAAAGCTATTTTCGTGCACCAGGCATCATAGCTTGTGAATATTTATTGGAAATAAACCTTTTACATTCATTTCGGACGCAGCTTTTCAAGTTGAAACTTAAAAGCATGGTGGGTAGCATGCATATGCGAGGCAACGTGCCCGCCCTTTGCAATTTGTCAATATGTCTATTTGATTGTTGTAATAACAACATTGAGCCGGAGGATTAGGACGTAAAATCTCAACACCGTTTGTCCGGGGTTCTAGATTTCTTTCTCTTGCTGCCTTCCACTATTTTCTACGAAAAAAATCAAATGTGAAATTCATTTATATTTATCCTGACTAGTTTTATATGTTATGATTTAAATTCACTTTATTCTTTCTCATTTTAGAATGCCAACTAGTATGGTCATCTGCCTCGTGGTCGGGTTCCTGTTCTGGATTATCAAGTTGCTTCATGCTGTAACAATTTTGTGCAAAGCGTTTCGTATTCGCAGTTTCTATTTAAATGTTCTTCACATTCGTGATGTAAGTAAAGCTCGCCTCTCCAGCTTTTTAATCGTTTAATTTTAATGTTACTGTTTAAATTAGTATTTCCTTGAAAGAAATGACTAGTATTGAAGCTCACATATGGATTATTAAGATAGTATGCATATATTGTGCGATCACGTAAGACTACAAGCAGGTACATTGTCATCAACTTTTAAGGAACACGAACATTCCATAAATATGCTTGATTGCTTATCGTACAACATCATTAGATTGAAGCTCTACGTACAAAGAAAGAGCAACTTATTGACGACGTTTCAAACATAGCTCACTATCTTTAAGGAGCACCTCTTCGCACACTATGTATATCAGTGAGATCAACTTGAACCCATTGCTCTTTCTTTTAAAAATGGATTTATTCAAAAATCTTGAAATATTTATTAGTTCTTTCTGCCTTCTTTCTTTTGTCAACAGTTAGGTCTCTCACTCTTACAATGGAGTGACGGAGCTTTTGGTTAAAAAAGTTAAAATCAGATCTTGAACGATAAATACTTCGAATACACATTTTGAAGATCTAGCATATTTCACCAATTAATTATTCAGAGAAGATGAGGCTCATTAAACAACTGACATGTATGAATAAAATGATATGGAACTAGAACTTGTTATGCGTTTTAAGAGTTTTGATCTTCAGTCAGCTCTCTCCAAAGTTGTTTTCAAACAAATACTAACAAAGTGTTCAAAACAAAGTATTGGCTTCTTGAATAATATTTCTTCACATTTAAAAAGAATTTTGGTATTTTGGCCTTGGATGTAAACAAATTTCTTGGTAGACTATCGAGATTTTTAGCTTTCTTTTACAATTAAGCATCTTTTTAAATAAAGTCTCAGTTTAATATCTCAGTCTTAAATCTGACTGTTATTGTGATCTACTGATTTAAAATTACGACGTTTTGTTTTGTTGTAGTAGATTAAGGACCATTTCGGCCTATGCATCTATTATTATATAAAGAAATTAGTTTTGCAACCTAGCAATTCATATCTAGTTGTTTTGCCTTCTTATGTTAATTACCCAACTTGACCACCTTAGCCTTGTATTATATTCTACAAAATAAGTTTTTACTGTCATCACAAAGAGAATTTAATTGGGTATCTATCGCCTGTCAGTTTATGTTAATTATCTTGACAAACAATTTATATCAACTTCTTTTTATTGGCAATATTAAATTCTACCATATCTTCGGTGGAAGCCCTTAATTTTGATTTTAAACTGAATAAAGTCATGCAAGCGAATGTAAGTGCAATATGGTATAAATATCTAACATATAGTTGATTTTGTATGCATGAAATTTTGATGATCAATGCTTTCGTTTTAATCTTGAGAATATTTCGTTTAGAATAGAGAGATAAGACTTTTTCCCTGTTTTTCATGCAGCCATTTCGTAGCATTTAGATTCTTTGAATTTTACTTTCAGTCTGAGCTACAGAATATGCAGTGGTATGATGTACAAAAAAAGTTGATAGAAGCACAGAAAACTCACCACATGTGCGTCCATAAAGCGGAATTAACAGAGTTAGGTATGACGTTAGTTATCTTGATTTTGCCTGAATGCTCGCTTTCTCACAGCAGCTGTTCAACGTGCATTGCACAGTAGCTGGAAATTAAAGTTTTTCATAAGATCAAGGAAAAGTTTCAGCAATTTTCCATTAAAAGCGGCGAATCTTCAGTCAACTTGTCACCTTATCTCTATGAAAGATGCAATAAGAGTAAAAAATATGGCTTTTATAACAATCAGTTCATGAGAGATCTCTTCTAGCATATCTAGAGGATGTAATTTTGCTTCAAAGAAACATTTGCCCTCATTAAGCTTAGGTTTCTAAGCTTATGTATGGAAGAATTTGTCCTAAACGCGTCTCGACATGCTGACAGCAAAATCAATGATCCTGAAATTATGTTGCCGCTAGTGTATAGCAACTAAATATAATAGTTACTATGGGGAGCAGTCTAACAGTTGCCTAAATACCACATGAAGTCTGTGATTTGGTGTTGTTTATTAGGCCTTATTCACTCGCAACCGGACCTTTTCTTATCCCCAAATTGCGGATTCAAAAATGATCTTGTCCCGTATGCACTCGGATTCGCATTTTTTCATCATCGTATCAGACAAAGTCCTAATAGGTATGCCAACACGATATAGAAGTCACTGAGGCTAAAAAGGCTCACACTCTAGAGAGCGGATTTGATAGCGTACTCGTCTAATATTTTAAGAGAGAAGCCGAATCCGTAGAGAGTTGTTTGTGGATTTCGAATCCACCAGTTCCCGTTTAAACGCAAGGCCTATCCGTACTCTTTTGAATCCGATCCGGTTCGGACCCGCTCTCGTGTAAACGGGGTCTAAGAGAGAAGCCGAATCCGTAGAGAGTTGTTTGTGGATTTCGAATCCACCAGTTCCCGTGTAAACGCAAGGCCTATCCGTACTCTTTTGAATCCGATCCGGTTCGGACCCGCTCTCGTGTAAACAGGGTCTAAGAGAGAAGCCGAATCCGTAGAGAGTTGTTTGTGGATTTCGAATCCACCAGTTCCCGTGTAAACGCAAGGCCTATCCGTACTCTTTTGGATCCGATCCGGTTGGGACCCGCTCTCGTGTAAACGGGGTCTAAGAGAGAAGCCGAATCCGTAGAGAGTTGTTTGTGGATTTCGAATCCACCAGTTCCCGTGTAAACGCAAGGCCTATCCGTACTCTTTTGGATCCGATCCGGTTGGGACCCGCTCTCGTGTAAATGGGGTCTAAGAGAGAAGCCAAATCCGTAGAGATTGTTTATGGATTCAAAAAATTGACGTGGCCTAAGCCTTAATTGTTAATTTTGTACAAGAGGATTCCTTGAATCTCACTTCATTTATTTTTTTCAGGAACTATCAAATTTTTAAAAGAACTGAACAGGAAATCTGTCAGGCTGCTTCTGGGTTATTTATTTTAAAGATTCATTTTCGAATTATAGGGTAAAAGGTTCTTGCATCAGGTTTTTATCAAAAAGGTGTCTTGATTGAAATTTGGTAGGCGATTGCCTGGAAATCGGGTGTTCTATTTGTGACAACAGACGGCCAAACGACGGAATATGTTTATGAGCAAAAATGGAAAGCCTGTAGCTTTTAAAATTATCAGGTTTTGAATCCACTTCAAAACTTAGGCTGTTTTTTATTCTAATTCTAAAGGTGCATGTGGCCATTTAAGAGTCAATGGGATGTATTTTTGGAGTAAAGGGAAAATATCTTACTCATAAAAATAATTCATTTTAGTTTACTCTCTGAGACAGAAAAGAGTTTCAGGTAGTTGTAGCTAAAAATTAGAAACGCTCAAATCAAAATTTTTCTTTGTCAACATGCAAATTTTTGCGAAGATTTCTTTTTTGGAAATACAGGTTATTTACTCTCCAGGAAATCACTGTTGTTCGTACGAAAAGGCGGTGCCTATACCTACGTCTTAATTAAGCGATCTGTTAATCTTTTCCGCGAGGCTATTTTCGTTGCACTGAGAGCAGGCCCAGCTAGCCCTAAGCTAGCCTTAAGCTGACTAGCCTTCCTCATTTTTTCTCGATTATGGTTGATTTGAAACACACAAATTACTGCTCAGACCCGTGGTTTGACATCCAAACTATTGTAATGCTAATGGCTTGCCGAGCTCGAGACATTTCTTTGTATTGATTAATCAATTACTTTCTTAAAGCCAAGCAGAAACTATCAATGTTGCTTTTTCAAGTCATTCGTATGGTTGTTTACCAGAAGTGGCCTTAGGGCAATGTCATCAGCAGTCAAGGCCAGTCCTGTAGGAAACTTCTCATCTCTTATTATCTTCTATTTATGATTTTTAACTGTTTACCTCTTTTTATATACTTTAACATTGTTTCGTTATGACCAACGATCTACTAATTGACTCGTGTTTTATTGAATAAAATTAAAATAACTTCAAGAAAGTAAGTGAAATGCTTGCAATTTAAGATGTGTTTCAGGGCAAACCCTTTCGAAAATACCTGCCTTTCGGTAGGCTGGTGACTTTGAAGAAATAATTATATTTTGCTCAGGTTTAACATTCTCAGTCAGTTAATCATTGCAGTAAGATTTGGTTCCCTAAGATAAAATACCTAACAGTTAGTATGAGTGTTAGAGTAATCATTATTCGAGGGTTTTGTGAACGTTAGAATTTGGTGTTTTTTTATTTTGATAGCTAAGTAAATGAATAAATCTTAGCATGAAAAGTAAGAATTATCAATATCACCTTGTCCGAAATAAGAAAATACTAATAAGGAATGAAGTGTACAATTTTTGGCAGCAAATCCTAAAACGTCTGGTCATAGAAAAATGTATGTTCCGACATGATCAGGTTGGCCGGGATTTTAGATCTTAATTTCTAGTTTCAATACGATCAAGTGTGCTCGCATAACGGCCTTTTCTGCCATTATGCAGGTACACTTAAAAACAAAAATGATGCTTGAACGGACCAGTATACGCCGTTCTGTTGGCCGGTGGTTTTAAAGTTTATTTTCAGCTGGTAAATAATATCGAAATATCGAGGACTACTGTTTCCGTCTATCATTTAGCTAATATTCCGTATTTCCGCACAATATCTTTGCCCCAACGCTCAACTCAAGCTCACACGAGCCCTATTGAGTACAATATCAGAACATCTCTTTAATTTTTATTTTAGAAAAGTACCTTGCTTGCAGCATGGATTTTTGCTGTTTTTAACAACTTCCTTATTCTGATAATCCAACTGATTTATCAATCAGATATTTTCCAATTAGAATAAAATTAAATCTTGCCTTGATAATAAGTCTAATTTTATCCAACTCTTGCTATTTGAACTTTTGATAATTCAAACATATTAAGCGTTTCTATGTATTTCCATTGTACAGAAATTGCAAATTTTAGCAGCAAAACTTCTACATCAAGTTGATTTTTTTAAATTCGTTTTCTTTTTGCGCTTTTGGTGTGTAGAATAGGACCTTTTTCAAGTTGAAAATCCAATATTTAAGCTTAGTGCGAACATCTTTGAGACTCGTAGTTTCACATTATGCTTTAAACTCAGAGTTGCAACTTATTACTGGTTCGATCTACAAATGAAAGTATATGCAGTACTGCCTTGGCGGCATCGAGCACATAGATCTGCGGGCAGTGATTTTCATTATTTTTCTTTTTAGACATTTACCATCGAATTCTACGGCACAAGAATTATTTAGTTGCAATGCAAAACAAAGCTGTGATACCTTGTTTATTTAGTATACCATTTTTAGGACGATGGTAAGTGCATTGCTATATTCAAATTTCTTGCTTTATCTGTATAATTAATTTTGCTCCTAATAGATAATATATTGTTCCTATCATATGCAAATCACAACTAATTCAAACATTTTTGTGCGACCTCTTTGTAGTAATATTTGCAGCAAGTGCCAATTGGCAGCGTTTTTTTAATTTTTACTTAAGTGTGATACATGAAACTGTACATTTGATATTTATTGGTGTCTTCAAGCTAGTTTATTTTGTTTACGTCTAAAGGCTTGCAAATGTTCTGTGATTATAATAACTTATTATATCAAATTGGCACAAAAACAGGTTTGGTGGCTCATTGATCGTATTTCTAATGTATTTATATTGCGCTCTTACTCTAAACAGGGTTCCTAGTTGTTTGAAATGGTTGGCGATTGAACGTTTCATGATTCACAACAAAATTATTAAAAATCAGCTAGATTTTGATTGATTTTTATCTTTGGGATTGTTTATGTTTTGTCACTGGAAAATTTTGGATCTTTTTGCCATGAAGTTATGCATTATTTGTATAAAAATAGTTTTTTCTATGTATTTTTGTTTTGCTTTGTTTTCCACTTGCAGTTTTCAGCCAACTTCTGTTTTTCATCTGAATAAATTTTCTCGACGGCCAAGTGCTTTAAAAAGGCTAAAATGGAGGAATCTAGCTGTCAAAACGACCAAAAAGCAGCTTTGAATTTTAAGTAGACCAAGCTTTAAAAGTGAAAAAAAATTCGCACGAGAAACAACGAAAGTCGTTTGACACTGATGTTCTAGAATAAAGGCAAAATCACAGTGTAGGTTTTACTGTTTTTCGTGAATTAGCAACTTGAGTAAAACCAGATGGGTAGAAGTGTGAATCACACGAATAAAGTATTCTGTGCGTGTGATTTAGAAAACACCTGAAAATTTCTTTATGACAAAAACTGGTTATAGAGGAGAAGCTGTGTAACTCTGATAAAGATTCATTTGCAAGTTTCAAACTGTTTTCGTACGTTTTCTGAAGTTTGCTTTTCAGCTGTATAAAATTCCAAAAAGTTTCCTGTGAAAAATGAAATGATAATTTATTTTTCTAGTCCTATAAATATCGCCAATGAATAACGGATTTGCTTCCAGTCCCGATGGGCAAATGATAACAGAAGTGGGTATATGAGGTGCATAAAAGAATTTGAAATGATCACTCAACTGCAGCTTTTCAAATCTTAAAAATGATTTCATTAGTCATGATTTTAGTAAGACAGTTTCACAAGCCATTCGTTTGCCTGTTTATGTCTAAAAATTTGTCTGTTCTTCTGTAACAGGACTTTCCTCACGCATGGTTTGAAGTACAATTTGCATCTGATACTGTTCTCTGGTGCTGGAGCCCCTTTTGAAACGCCCTGGAAGCTACGAGAAGAATACAGAGACATAACATTGAGGTAACTTATTCACAGCAAAGCGTAGAATAGAGACATTTAATTACAAGGACTGTTAGATCCGGGGTTGGGCTGTAGAATCCGGGTTTTAGGCCAAAGGATCCGGGGTATTTGCCAAAGGATCCGGGGGTATATGACTTTCGCAACATTTATAGTATCCGAAAGTACTGATACTATCTGGTGATTACAATAGATCCCTGCAAACAAGAACCGACTTTTTTTAAAAGTCAGATTGTTCTTGGTCCTTATTTTAAAGGGGCATGTGGTCATTTCAGTATTAATTGTTCTTATTCAATGGAATATATTCCCTGCATCATGGGAGAAAAGAGCCAAAATACCTTTTATGAAAACACTTTTTTAGTCACATTTTTAATCTAATACAAGAAAGTGTTAAAAATCAAACAGTATAGTATTTTAGGGTTTGCAGCTTAAAGTTGCCAACACGCAGACTGCACTAACGAAAACAGGGCTGAGCCACCGCCCTGCCATCACCACCCCCCACCCTCCCCCCCATCGACGGCACCGCTCCTCTAGCGTTAACTGTATTCACCAACTTTGTCTTGAGCAATTAAATCTTGATCAACAGATCCCATAACACCATCTTCTTGATCTTTAGTAATCAACATCGTCATATTGGTAGAGCCCCTTACTGCTCCATTGTCCCTTACTGTTCCATTGTCGTTTTTTACATGACAATGCGCTTCCTCACTGCCACACCACTTGCTGCTGCCAAATTTGTACTAATATAAAGTACTATGTTCAAAACATCATCAAGATAGCATTAGATTATTGAAGTTGGATCAAAGAAAATTAAAAAGTGCAGACAGACACATGAAAATAACCGTAAAGAGCTTTCGGATCGGTGACATGTTTGTATCTTATAAAACAAAACGTTAAAGTTACAAGTTAACAGCATAATAAATATGGTATAACGTCAATCTGCTAAGTATAGTATTTCATTTTGAGAAAGTTTAATAATAATCAAATATAAGGTTTTTTTAAAAACACAAAAACTGAAAGATAAAATAAAATGCAAAAGATTAGGTGCAATATATGTAATAAATTGCCGATTCATTGGGTAATATTCAATAGCTATCTAATAGGAGCAATTTTTTGAATTTTTGCTAAAATCTATTCTATTACGAGATCTTCAATCATGACAATATTCTGCATGTAGTGTCTTGTTGGCAGAGCCGTCCGCATCGGGATATTTGAGACATTTATCTGGTCTGGTACCGGCAATAAAGACTTTTTGCCGGTAAAAAATAGGCACTCCATTTCGAACTTCGCTTGCAGCGATCATTTTCACTCAATCACAAAATGAGTAATGCTGATTCAGAGATCACGCGTGAATGTCTGTCTAATGAAGCATTCACGCTTAATAAAATTTTGCTCACGAATTCATGCATCGAAAATACGCCGATCAAGCAATCATGCCAGAATACCTGGTACCCTAATTTGAGTTCAGCCCTACAATATAATTTTCAGAACGATTCATAGGAAATTATTGAAAAATTTGCTTCACAATTTCGTTTAGCAATGTTAAATATCGTATAGACGGAGTTAAATTCACGTCAACAATTAATGGGACATGTAAATTGGCAAAAAGTATGGTGTGGTGATTATTAGGTTTCAGTGCATTTATTAAAACAGTCAAGTTGATTCTTAATACGTTATATGTTTTGGAAACATCAAACACACCATCATCATCAGTGTTTAATAGATGATTTTTTGTAGAAACCCGAAGTTTTGATAATCAAGACAAATTAGTCAACGTATTAATAACAAGCAATTGTGTTAAGGATATCTTAGTGTCTGTAAAAACTAAGATTTTAATAACATATTTTTAATGTTAGTACACAATCGTTTGAATATTATACAATTGCAACATAGAAATATTTAAAAAAGTAGACAATTCTTTTTCAAGGCTTGATAGTACTTGGGCAATTTTGTAGATCTCTCTACTTTATTCATTCCATTTTAGTCTTATTCAGTAACATTATAATTTGAAGTGGTTATATAGGATTATCAACTTTTTCATTGTCCGATTCATTATAAGAAGTTGAAGAAAACCTCGAAAGATAAGATTGCATGAAATGAATATTGTTACTCTATTTCCAAAATCCCTCGTTTAGTTAAACTTCCTTTTATATTTTGATTGGCCGGCTCATTATGATAAGTCTTTGATGAAATTCCCTTTGCTTCTGTAAATCTGTTTGGTTCCCAAAGTTTATTAATCCTTTTTGCTTCTTTTTTAACAGGAGGCAACTTGCTGTTAAGTAAGTCATGCTTTTTCACATTTTTCTTTAACCCAATTAAATGTTATCTTTACATTACTGCAATACATTTAAATTGGAGAATGGTCTGTTTGTACCTTACATCGTCGTCTAATGGTATTGCTTTGGCAAAGCATTCAATTTTGTCAAGTTATACTACAACGGATGTTTTTGGGAAATTAGAAATTAGGAGATGTTTACAACTAATTTTCACAACGCTAAATTTTTGATATTATAGCATCTCTGTTTCTTAAAACATTTTCTTCGAAAGTCACACTTTCTTTTCAACTTTCTTTTCAGTGTGAGCTCGAGTTTCTTTTCAATTTACTTGCCTCGCAAAAATTACACCTTTGGTTAACAATTGTGAATTCCTCTCATGTATGAGACAGTGCTTCAAAACCTCACACTGTCTTTCTTGACGAAATTCAATGTACAGTTTACCTAAGATGTATACAGTTCCGCCCAAAATCTTTAAACTGTTGTTCAAAGGCTCTTTGCTGCAGCGTCTTTTCCCTTTTGGCGTTATTTCTACCAGGAAGTCTGTGGTATAACGATATCTTGCCTTGGCTAGCCATGTCTCTCTTGACCCATCGCTGCAACTTTTTAGCTTCCATTTGCTTGACCAACCCCTTTTTTCCTTGTCTCCATCTAGAAGTTGCATCCTGCAATGTCCCGGGTTTTACAAAAGCTAGTATAACATCTTCTGGGCATGACCATTATAGAAAACGTAAAATGACTTCTATTTCCATAATTGGGACCGTCGCAAATTTTTTTAGCTAATTGATTTTCATTTTAGGCTATCAAAAAGAATATTTCTGTTTGGTTTGCTAAATCTGGTACTCTGCCCGTTTATCCTGATTTACGAAATTTTGTACTCATTTTTCAAGTATGCTGAGGTAAGAACTTTCCTTTTTATTTTGTCGTTCATTTGGTAAATTGTATGCACAGAATTAGGAAGAAGCAGAAGGGAAACTCATTTTTGCCGCATTTTTTAAAATGCATGTTTGAAACTATTTGAGGCTAACCAATTCGAGGCTTTTCTTAACAGATTTCCACTAACCAGTCGAATTATATCGAGTTTTTAGGCCATAAGGTCTTATCGTTAGCAATAGTTTCTTCGTCCTTACCTGAAACTAGCCTAATCAAGTTTGAAAACGAGGCTAGAATTGTTTGAAAACAAGGTTATACAATGTTTGTCCAAACGTCTATAAAACAACAAGCGTTCAGCCTAAGTTTTCTCCCCTGGCCTTTCTCCATATCACGCTTTAGGTCATTCAGCCCCCCCCCCCCCATATTCCATCAGCAACCTCTATCTAGTAGATTTTGACTATTTCAAAGAAGAGAAGCTGTTTAAGTTAGCATTTTAACCAATATGGTCTGGCTTTTTCACGGTTCGAAAATATCGAACGAAATCATATCATGTTTCAAATGTAGCCAATATTAGAGTCTCCTCCGGCTCCTCCGGCTCCTCCGGCTCCTCCGGCTCCTCCGGCTCCTCCGGCTCCTCCGGCTCCTCCGGCTCCTCCGGCTCCTCCGGCTCCTCCGGCTCCTCCGGCTCCTCCGGTCAGCAGTTTGGTCTACGACTGCTGCCGTGTAACAACATTTTAATGAAACTTGGGTCTGGTCGATCGTATGATCACGTGACCTGCCTTCGTCAGAGTGGTTAGCACTTTTATTTCCAGACACGGATCGACCAAAATCTGCTAACGATGACGAGGCTCAGTGCTTTAGGCAGAGCTCCAATGAATTCATATTTAAATCTATTTCATTAAGCAGCATTCTTACAAGGTATATATTAAAGATCTAACTCAATGTACTGCCAACGATTCGATTGAATTTAGGCAAAAGAAGCACACTCTAGCTTGTTCGTAAAACCAAGGAATCGTGGACCGCAACATAACCTCCGATGAGGTTAGTTGAAAAGGTGTATGATAACTGAGTAATGCCAACAAGTACAGTTATTGCATCATGTTTTGGTATCAGACTTCACATGCTGAAAATTGTTTAGATCAATTGAAGACTTTTGGGATTTTCCAAGTCCAGAGCTTTTCTTTGGACAAAGTCCATTGCATTTTCAGGTTTCTCTACTCTGTCATTGATGCAAATGGATGGTAAGCGAATGTCACCACAAGCTGAGGGCATTTTTGCTTAGTCACATCCAAACAATTGGGTGATAAGAAGAGGTTTCCCAAGAGGTTTCTATTACGTTAGAGACTCATCCTTGCAAGCTGTGTGTTGAGACACTGTTGCTATTTTTGCCACCATTGCCCATTTCAGTCCACCCAAAGACAATTGTTCAGGTAATTTATTTCACCACAGTATATATGCGTTCATATACCATTACCTTTTGCGTCACACCACAATGCCAATTAATGCTTCGGGAGCTCGGCAGCTTATTCTTATCAGAATGCCACCCATTCTATTGCCTACTTGTGCAATACCATTCAGCAAGACTTTTCCCCGTTGCTAAATGACTCATCTTTTCGCTTCTTGAAAAATCTTTACCATTCCTGTCTTTTCTAACACTATTAATGCAAATTTTTTACCGTGAAGAATTCCTAGAAAGAGGTCATCTTAGGCACCACTCAGTAAAATATGGGAGAAGATGTCTTCATTCGCAAGCCTTTGAGAAAATTTGAAATATCCCGCCATGGGCATTCGAAGTTAATTAGATTTTCTGAAGCAGGGTTAACCTCGGCTGAACTTTCTGGTGCATATTTTATTTTTTGTACTTTTGGTATACCAGAAAATCTTAGTATATTTTTTATTTATTATGAGGCTAGGAACTTCTAATACAGAAAACCAGTTTGTATTGTGGGTGCTTCTGTTTCTGCGGCATATTTTCGTTATCTTTGCGTGTTCTTTTCCTTCATCGAGGTAAATTTATTTATTGCTATGATTTTTTCAGACCTTAGCCCTTTTATCTCGAGAATAAATCTTTCTTTGCATAAATAATCTAAAAGTAAAACTCATTTGAGGCTTTTTTTTATTAGACTTCTCTCTACCAGACTTTCTTGGCCAAAAAGACCTGTTTGAAGCCAGGTACATTCAAAATGAAAATGAGACTCGGGAAGGGCTTATGGCCTCCCATGATTCGGAACGATCAAGAGCATTTGCATTTATGATATCCATTTGGTTTGAATCTTACTCCTTCTGTATAGGTTCTTATGTAGCATGAGATATAGGTTCTTCTGTAGCATGAGGTGCCATATCAATGCCTGTCATGTAACATATCTTTTCTCATAAGCACCCCAGCGTTTGTTTATTGTTTGAAGATATCGTTTCAACATCTATAGAAAGGCGTTTATTACAAATTTGAAAACTTGACGTGTTTCTAAGAGGAAATATTTAAAGGCAATCTGTCTCGTTGTGGATTGGTTAGCGAGAACAATAGCTGGAACAATAGCCTAAACACAATTCCAGCGCCCCGCCATATTTTTTACAATGCGATAAATTAAAGGGGGACTGGAAACAATAAAAAATCCCTTTTTTCTTATAATCGATCATCGTCGTGACAGATTGCCTTTAACAGATAAACCAGTTTGTTTTGCATAAAAGGATATTGTGTGAATCGTTTAGAATGGCTACATATTTAGACTGTTTATTGGGTCTGGGGAAAATTATAAACACAACTTGTTGGCTGCTTGAATGAAATTATTGTTTAATCTGCAGCTGAATAAGAGAGCTTCATCACTTGCATCCATGCAGTCAAGGGATTTTCGACAAGTTCTCAGTTATTCGTTATCTTTACTTCTGGTTTCCTTCACTCACCGCATCTTTTTCCTTATGGGCTGTGCTATTGTCTTTAGACCGTTGCCTTATTCAACTATCTTGTTTGTCATTACTTAAGCCTTATTTGTCATTGATGAATCTTTTTTAACCGTTCTGTATTAGAACCACAAATTTAAAGACAACCATTCTCAAGCTTTTCTGAATTTTACAAGTAATTCTCTTACAGAATCATTATGGCTAACGATCTTAGAATACCAACATCTTAGCAGTATAACAACACTGTGAAGTTCGAATAGAAAGGCTATATAGTTAACCTCATTTTGTATGCCCACTTATCAGTACCTTTAAACCCCATGAAACATCTTAGTCGATATTATGAAGCGTTGTAAATCAGAAAGTATATTTATGTAGAAAAAGCTTTTCATTTTATTCCAAAATGGAGAAAATCAGTATCCTGTAAAGAGATTGTTGACGCAATCCTGAACTTTCACTTCTCTTAGATTCCAAGTAAGAATGCCGAGCAAAAGAGAGTTAGTTGTCTGCCCGCAATGCCTGCTGCCGAGTTAGTTGCAATTGGGAGTAATTTTTGTTTGTGTCACGGTGAATTTCGATTATAACCAAAATTAATTTCAGCATAAGCTATTCGTTTTATTTGGCAATCGGAGACGAAGCAGGGCTGAAGAGAGCAAAAACAGAAGAAGAAAGGAAGGCCGACACGAGATTGCTATGATGGCTTTGAGCAAGAAACTATGGGGACAGCCCATTGACCCTGCCATGGAATCTAAACACATTAAGGTGTTATCGAGTCACTCCTTTACTCGTTGGAACGGTTCGCTGTCGAAAAATTGTGTCTTTAACGTCTGTTCTGTCACTAAAATCATCACTTGACTGATGCAAAAACGCTTTACCAAAAAGAGATTGCGTAAGATGCTTTTCTGCAGCTTATTCTCTTTTTCTATGACTATAGGTGCAAGCAAAGGGCTGCAACGTCTTTATCGCATGTTCGTCACATTATTACTTGAGAAGCTTAGTAGCCTGTTTAGAACTCTCCAGAAAATCCCTTAAAACTAACCGTAATCCGAAATCTGTCATTACAATCCAATCTTTCATCGTCCAAAGCAAAGTAGCAAAGTAGCAGTATGTCAACAACTGCGAATCATTGTGTCGTGCCAAAACGCAAGACTCGTTCCTGGTTCGTGCGAGACGTGGCGGTTTTCACCAACACCTGGTTCGATGTAACAATAATCTTGCTGGTCTGTCGAAATCACAGTGGAAGTGTATATGTTTAACACAATCTCCAGTGACCCAAGACTGTTAAAGTAAGGCCACGAGAAGATGTTGTATCAAAAACTTAAAATTCGCCTAATGCATTTATGTTTTATCAAAACCACAAATGCTCATAATGATTTGAAATCGAGCTTTTCATGTAAAATGGTAACATTGCTTTGTTTAAGAGTGGTAACTAATTCAGAATATGGTTGTTTAGTCATATGTAGGAACAGTCTACGGTCTGTTGTTGCCTTGTCGATTGCATCCGGTGTGATGTAAAGGTTAGGCGAACCTATCGTTCTTTCTTAAGTAGAATAATCAGTGTTAAACAGTGGTTTAGGCCGATAGCATCTGTTTTTCGAAGATAACCTTGTTGAACTGCAAGCTACTGTGTCAGGCAGTTCGCTAATGACAAAACGTTATATAGGACTTGGACAGGCTCTAAAACGTACTTCTTTCTGTTTACACCGCCGAAGATGCTTTCTGGAGGAGTGTATAAGCTAATTGCGTTTCTACCAAAGTCCCAATCCCTTGCTGCCAGCTTCAAGTTACTGGCCCCTACTCTCTGCTCCATGCTCCCAGTTAAAGCTTAATTGGCTACTAAGGAGAGTTCTGGTCCCTAAACTGTCTTGACCTTTTCATTATGCCTTTTGCTAAAGCATAAGAATTTTTCTTGGTACTGCAAACTACAAGTATGACGTCAAACTGCAATTAAGAAGAAATTCTTTACTGCTCAACAAATTGTGGTCATGGTACGTTGAATTGGGATCACGATTTTGGTTAAGGAGAAGAAATGTTTGCTCTGATATCATTAGTGGTGATATCCTAATTTGTTTTCCAAATACAAGACATTGTTTTGGTATGTATATGACGAGCTGTTAGAGCCCTTTGCAATTGTTTCTCATTTTTCTGGTTGTCATCGACTTACGCCAAAGACCAAGGTTAAGACCATTTACACCCTTTCAAAGCATTTACCTGTGTCTATTATGTGTTGGGTCACCCCTTAAGGCAGCAATCGATTTGAATGTTGTACTTGGTAAATCAGATGTACTTGGTAAAACAAACTTGTTCTATTACGACGTAGGTGAAGTATGAATGGATTGGTTTTTAAAGTCTGCTTTAATAGGAAGTTTCGGTCAAAAGTTTCCGACAATTCATCGATAGAGGATCTTTGCGCTACCAGCAAACTGACGAAGACTAAAACTTGTCACTGTTGAGTTGACCGTCGCTATCTCTCTCCATTAGTGCTTCAAAGTTAAAAAAGCATAAGCACTGCTGTCTCTCTCCATCAGTGATTTTAGTTCCACCAAGCCTCGTTTTGCACCTCCTTTCATAAACATGAATTGCTTTGAATTCGACAAAGACCACCGGTCGTTTGGTCGCAACTTTCTGTCGTGTATCGGTGATTTCATCTGTTTATTCCTAGTTTTACTATTTTCATCTCTAGGTTCTTTCATGATGGCTTAACGAGTCCAGTGAGAAAGTGCTTGTTACAAGCCACCAGCTTGAATTTATGCAGGGGTCTGGCAAAAGTCTTTGCCCTGAAATCGAATTCAGAAAGGCTCATCTGAACGCAATACCCCCTCTAGATACGGACATATCTTTATGATGTTTCTATGTAACTCTGACAGAACATATTTTTGTAGTTTTACTACGGGCAGAAATGTTTTCATCATTGATTTCATTCTAAATTTATGATTGTAGTGCCCTGTCAGGAAGTTTTAATCACCATGCAGTTTGTCACAGAGGTCATTTTGGTTCCATAGGCTGGGCTTCTAAGTACTCAATACATAGAGCACTTAACATGGAGACGAGTGAATCCCATCTTTCTGGCAATAGTGACCCAGAAGGGATATAGCAATAGATGAATTGTTCACACAAGTTTTAGATTGTGGTTCCTTTAAAAAGGGGAGCAACCAGATTATCACCTTTGATACGGTCTTCGCCGCCTATGTGAGCTAATACAGCCAGTTGTTTATGGATATAACATCTTTACCTGGCCAGTGTTAATAGAGTTGTAGTGACCTGTATACCGTGACCCAGACCTGCTTCTTAAGTTCCATGGTACAGATGAAAAATTAAAAAGAACAATGGCTTTACTGTTGTTAAGAAAATGAATACACTCTTTTTTATAAAAACACTGAGGCTCGATTTGCCCAAAAAATAAGAACAAGGCTAGAACATGCTCGGCTTCAGATGAGAAATTTAAAAAAAACAATTCGAATTTTGAAATTTATGTCATGTCAACAGAACAAAACTATGCAAGTTTGTCCATAAACACTAGCAGTCATTGCTTTATTTTTAAACTTTACCCAGTAAAACGTCTTAGATCACTAAAACGTCAGTAAAACAGTATGTAACTTCTCAAATGTTTGCAAAAAAACACTCTTAAAATAGAAACAATTTAAGCCTAAAATTATAAAAAGTTAAGATCATCGATGCTCGGCAAAAATTATTTGGTTCTTTTAAAAAAATGAGTGTAAAGAAAATATCATGACAGCAATAATTTGCTTTTAGCTATCTTTTCGTTGTTTTAATGGACACTAAATAATATGTCTTTGATGTAGGTATGATGTAATAATGTTTTGATGCAAAAATTTTCATTGTAGTTGATAAAGAGATCGCCGGATTTCTTTGGAGCTAGAAGATGGTAAGTAATTTTTATTTCTAATATGGTTCCATTTTTTGTATTCTGTTACATTTATTTCTATTTTTTAATTGCTTTATATCGCATCTTGGAGTACAAAACCCAGATATTCCAGAAGCTTCAATGCTGAAATATATTTTATGCCACAAAAACCAAATTTTTTTTCCGCAAAAATTTTCCTCTCTTTGATATCTTTAAGAGGAAAGGATTTTCTCTGGTAATTTTCCTTTGATGTTTATCGTTATCCCAGTTTATAACTCGACCCATTTGTTGAAAATACGTGCCTTTTTGGCAAAACGGGGGAACCCACATTCGATATTTTATCACGGGAATTTATAAGTTAAGACAATTTTTGCTGCTTCAAGTCCAACAATTATTCTATCAGTTTTAAGATTTGACTGACAAAAACTCAACAATCGCGACAGAAAGAACTTTTATTCTAAATCCGCAGCCTATACTTCCTATCAAAAGTTGTTCGCAGGGAAATCTTTCTGTTAAAGCATAAATCCTTTTCTGTAAAATTTTTGTTCAAAGAAAGAAAGTAGAAGAAGTAAGTTTTCTCAAAAACATGTCACCGTCGTATAAATGGAGGTCGACATTTCACATGTATTTTGCGAAACTCAACTTTTACACCGTGAAATACGGTGGTATTCTTCTCGTCCAGAGACAGCGCTATGTTCCGTTATTAGCCCGTTTTAATAAGCATACAAGCTGACGAGTCTCACCAATAAGCCCCCAACTTGAATCTCCCAATATTTCGAGATTAGTTCCTTATCACAATAGCGTTTATGTTTCAAAGGTCAATGCCCAACTGGATTTGATTCAACATGACACCTATTAGTCACTGAAACCCCAAATCAACGGCTTTTAAGTCTGTCAATCTTCGACTTTAACTTCACAAAATCATTCTGTCAGCTCATATCGGTTTCATAAATCTTCTTGAAGTAAAGGTTAAACACTTTCTCAAGCTCTGCTAGACTTTACAGTTCTCATACTGTCCCAAAGATGCCACTGATCGAGGGGGAATCAACCAATAGGAATCACGTACGCCTTTGGTAGAAGTCCTTTTGCTTTAACTCAAAATCCTTAGAAATCCTTTTCTGTTTTGAAGTCGATCTACATAAAAACGAAAAAGCCGCCATTGTGTAGACAGAAGGAGTTCGTTTTCTCTCTTGGACTCCATTGGTAATTTTTCTTTAGGCTCGCGGCACTGATTGTTCAACCATACCGTTCTTGTGCTTGCGTTTTTCTGATTGGCCTATTTCGATCCACAACTGGGTATATATTTTCCATCTTGTTCTTTCGGAACCTTATTCTGACGTTTTATGCTCTGAGGAGTGTCAGACGAAAAAGCTTTTAGTATGTTGTAAAATGTTTGCTTTTTTCAAAGCCATTTTCAAATCCTTTTCTTTGGCAAAAATTTCATACGCTATTTGCAAGAGTGAATTTGCCCTTGCCGCTAATATTAGGAACTTTTTAAGCGGGGTTACAAAATCATAGCTATTTCTGTTTATATTTGCTTGTTTTTCAAAAAACGTGAGTTAGCCAAAAAGTAACTTTTTGAAAAGTAAATTTAAGATATTGTTAAATTGCTGGCTAACAGAATTTGAGTAAAAGTTTTATTCAAGGACTTTAAGATTCAAGGGTATTTATTATCGCCTAGCAAAAAGCGAAGCTATAATGACCTTTATATATTTTGCTTTCACAGGTCTCTGTATGGCCGATTGTACCTCAGGCATTTAAATGAGCTGGATCACGAATTTCAAGCAAGGTAAGACGTTGCAAATATTTCGCTCTGGGACTCCGCGGTTGTAACACTTAAAAACTGCCATTTTAACGACGTGCTCGTGATTGGATCTTGCGTTTCTTTGACGGATTTTTCAAATTTTTCAAATTTGGCCCATTTTTCAAAGAGGGAGTTAGATAAAGATGTCACCACTGTACCTCAGATCTTCTAGTTATGCTTGATATGTAGCGTGTTCCCCTTTGCAAGTCTGTTCATCAGAATCGCGACGCAGTTGTACCAGGTAGTGTTGTGCCAACGAGAAGTAAGGCCTTATATAAAATTAGTCAGTGAAGGAAAGTTGAACGACCTCGTTCTCTTTCAACAATATCATAATAATGCTTGTTTCTTTATTTATACATCCGTCTGTTCCTTTCTTGCCCCCATTTCGCTTAGAAGATATCGAGGAGAGGTGTTGTGCCTTTTGTGGAGTAGGGGAACTGCCAACTTTTAAGGGAATGCACTATTTACTTTGTTTTGTCCGCTTTGTTCGCATAAATTAGCATATAACTATTCATTGCTTGAAGGTAATTTTGCATGAATACTGCACATAACGGCAGCGCTTGATGACCACCTTAAGCTTGAAACCAGTAGTTGCAACTCAGGACCGTCTCCCGCTCTATGCGCAGAGCAATATATGTAGGAATAAGATATTCCCGCCCAGGTCAAAAAGAGACGGGTTTGAGATAACTGTTTAAAGCTTCTACTTTTGTCAAAAGTCTGTCTTTAACAAGAGACATGAAGTTTGATATATGTGGTCCTCGAAGATCTTGTTACCATACCACAATTGAGTCTTGTCGGCTGCCACCTTCAACCAGTGGCTTCAACAAGTAAACTTTTTTGAGCCTTTTGTGGAAATGTTCCGTATCTTTTTTAATTATTTCCGAAGAAACGGCGTTTTATTGAATCTAGATTGTATTTCGAACAATAAATTTCCAGGGAGGAAACGTCGAGTCTTGTGCCCTTAAGGTATACTTTAAGCGACATGGCTTGGTACTCGTTCGTCAGGGGTTTCGCGCGTATTTCCTGCTGAACCAGTTTTTGGTTTCGGCCATTTTGACTCTCTTTCGAAGAGAAGCACTCCATTCAGAATTCACAGAGTCAAGCATTAACTCTCATTTACAAACTTTGGCACAAATCATACCAATTCATTCGAAATTCTTCCCATGCATGTGTAGTTGTTTTCTGGGACAAAAAGAAGACTTGTGCGGTATTTATCAAATTTTGATGCTCCGTTCCTCCAAGGAAACAAATAATTTCACGCTAACTCACCCCTTATAATCTAGGTTTCTCAAAGATCTCGCTATTTATCGATAAATGTTTCTTATTTGTTTTTAAGCTGGTAGATTTCAGTGGATAATCTTAAATGATACTTTTTTCATCCATCAATTAATTAGCGACTCAGTAACGATCAGTCGGATTCAGCGACTTTTGAACTATTTGTGTTTGGATTGTGGCTTTTTGTTGTCAGTAATTCACAGTCCAACAGTAGCCTTAGCTCGAAATCTCCTAAGCTTGTGCTGAGTTTATTTCTTATTAACAATTCATTCAAAACAAATGTATCTCTAATACCTTTTTAACGCCACAGAAAGGAAGGGTTTGAAAGTTCGGCTAGTGTGGCGCCTGCTTTTTCTTAACATCAGCACCTACAATGAGCTTCATTTTAATCAATTCTATTTACGAATCCTGCATTTTAGTAACATTTTCGTTTGATAAAAGGTCTTGCTAAGTGAAATTATAGTTGCTCTGTGATTAACACTATTTCTCAATCTCCGAGCCGCCGCTCCTGATCCACGGCCAAGGGCTACGGCTCGAGTGTTTTTTTTGAAATTACGAAAGTTGCAAGTCGGGCGCAAATGGCATGACACGAGTTCCTGTGTTGCAAATGGCTCATGTTTTAGCTTGTCATTGATTTACGGTGAAAGCAGCTAATTGTTGCTAATTGAGAGGTTTTGGTTGGTCAAAAGTGAAAATACAGACAATTTATACCATGCATGTTTCAAAAAGCCCTGAGAAAAATCAAGGTTGCTTTTCTCGGCAATCGAATTGAAGCTTGAGAATTACCACGAGTGAAGAATTTTTAAAACATTTAGGTTAAAATCGTCGAATGTGTATATTTTTTGTTTCACTTAACAGCTAACAAGCTTAGTGACTCCAGTCTCCAGGAGTTGAGTTGGGGGCAAACCTTGCAACTTTGCTGTTCAGGGATGCTTAGATATATAGATTCCTGTTGATAAACCTTTCATAATCAAGTTCTCTATCTATTTATTGACAGAATGTAAATAACTTGGGTTGAATTGCTCTTCAATTTACTACGTCATCAACCATCTTTTGCAGGTTGAACAAAGCCTACGAACCAGCTACGAAGTATATGAACTCATTTATGTCGCCCCTTGTTGCTGTTTTTGCTAAGTATGTGCTATTTCTTTATCCTCTTTTAGTTACCATCTTTAGAATAGGCCCCTGAACAAATAAATTCTTATGTGTTAAAACTATATAGTTTTAAAACTATAGATATAAAAATGACTCTTTTTTATAATTTCTCGATTGCAGCACAGCTTCAAATAATGTTCTTTAATTCCCTTCAACCTTTGTGTTCTATTTATTTACCCCGCTTTGTTTCACTTCTGTGTAGATTGCAAATTTCGCTGAATTATTATTGGTCAGATGACGAAGTCGAGATTTAGTGAAGTAATCTGAATAAATGTGTCCTTCGAAGAATGCACCTTTACTTCAGATATCTCAAAATGCACTATAACACAGCAAGTAGGTCCCAAACACATTTATCCAGACAAATACAGGGTTTATTTGTAGTCTTTTCTGTCTGCCTTTTCTAAATAAAAGACTTACCTATGATTTTATTGAAAAATACAATTGTACGCTTAATAAATTTTTTTTCCAGGAATGTTGCGTTCTTTGCCGGAGCCCTATTATCAGTCCTGCTTGGTTTGTCAATATTTGATCAAGATGTATTGAGAGTGGAATATGTTCTCACGATAATGGCTGTACTTGGCCTTATCATCAAAGGTTGCTCAACCTTCATTCCGGATGAGGTATGCAGACTTTGTTTATCTCTTATCGTAACATGGTTAACACGCTCGCTGCTTTTTTCTGGTTGTAAGTACATTTCAACTAAATGAAAACTTGGTACCGCAAAATCAAGAGTTTTACAAAAAAGCGAGACCAAATTACTCCAAAGTAAGATCCTTTTTATCGTCAGAGAAAAAAACGTTGTTGGCTTTTTACGTTAAAGGGAAATTTAAACCAGGTGCAGATTGAAAATGACTAAAGAAGACGAAAGGCGCGTTCTGCCCGTTACTTGATTCGGCCGTCCGCGTTCGCTATTCCCTCGCATAGGTTACGAATTTCAGAGGAAAGGCGATGAATTTTCGTGTACACAACTTTCGTTTTTCGAAGTGAAAATGTTCGAAGGCCTTTTAGTGAAATACTACCTTTCCTACCCTAAAATATTTATCAGTCAATTCCTCTATAGTTTCAAAAGTCAAAAGGTGAATTTGTGATTAACTAACTAACGACGTTATTTTGTCATCTGAGCCGAGGGGATATCTTAGTTATCGTAGAATATAGGCCGCTTTGAATGACAAGTTTTTGACTAAATTCTGCTGTCAAAATGCTGTCATTCCAAAACACGCCAGTGAGATCGGAAATTCCATTATTCATTATCCAATGCAAGTACGAAGTATTGATGTCTTCTCATCTTTGTTAAATTCACCATCGACATTTTGACAATAAAGGAAACCCAGGGGATAAGGGTGGATAGACGAATTGTACATTCTTTGTATTGATTGAATTTATCAGGTTTTCTTATCCCGTGGCGTAGAGTTCGGTTAGCCGGACTGTTGCAGATTGGTCGAGGCTTTGTTTCCTGATAATGGCATGAAGCAGGAAATTGGCGTAGCCTCCTGCTCTACCCACAATAATGTATGACGTAATCGAAGTAACTGAAACATGCAGTTTGTCAGATGGCCTAATGTGATCATTTCGACCTATTTAGCTGCGTTATCATATTTTAGCCTACTATCAGCAATTCAAACACCATTAGAAGGCAAGATAGCAGTTTATGTTTAAATACAGTCAAAAAGAAAAACCTACCAGTCATAATAAAGAATAAAAGATTTTCTTTCGACGTCAAAGGTCCAAAAAATTGCAAGACGTTCCCTCCAGTTATATTGATAAAGTTCCATTTCATATCTGCTTTAAAATCTCCAACATATTTACCACCAAATGATTGATGGTGATTCTTTAATGTTCTAATTGGCTGTTTGCTAACAAGGTCGAGCAAACTTAAAAAAGCTTGTTTTTTTAGAACTTCGTGTGGTGCCCAGAGACACTCCTCAAGCAAGTATTGGCTTTCACTCACTACATCCCAGACCATTGGAAAGGAAAAGCACACACGTCAGAGGTAGCGAAGTAATCTTAATATATTTGAATTATCTTCCCCCGAGCCTTTTTTTCTTTAAATGTTGCCTGATGCTCGTTTGAGTGCGAAACGCGGTGTAGCAACCTAGAACCGTATTGTTCTTTACACAATAAGCCTATGTGCATAAAGATTTTATTCTATTTTCATTCATTTATCAAGAAGTTTTTCTTGACTTTCGTAGTTTATTACTTAGTTGCAAGAGCCTTAATATGTAGCTTTTCTACGGTTAAACTGACAAGGATTCTCCTCATAGACTCTCGAACTCTGTATGGTGCTACAGCGTTTTGCTGCTACAGCTAAAAGAAAAAACAAAACCCCACAAAATTCAGAAGCAGAATAGAAGGTAACGTAACATAACGTAGCTTTCGATAGCTTTTTTCTTGTCAATATTTACCGGTAAATGTCTTCTTAACGGTTAGTGGACACAAAACACAAAATTCAGAAGCAGAATAGAAGGTAACGTAACATAACGTAGCTTAACGCAATGTAACGTTACGAAACGTAACATAATGTAACGGAGCGTTATGTAGTGTAACATAACATAGCAAAGCATAGAATAACATAACATAACATAACATAACATAACATAACATAACATAACATAACATAACATAACATAACATAACATAACATAACATAACATAACATAACATAACATAACATAACATAACATAACATAACATTGCATACATAACATAACATAACATAACATAACATAACATAACATAACATAACATAACATAACATAACATAACATAACATAACATAACATAACATAACATAACATAACATAACATAACATAACATAACATAACATAACATTTGTGAAGTAACGTAATAAATGAAAACGTAACACAAAACAACACATCACAGGACAACGTAACACAAATTGATAAATATTGAACTGCTTCTTATTTTCTCATAGGTTTACTTGATAGAAGAACTTGTAAGTCCACTACTGACTCCATTCATTTTGATGTTGAGCATGCGGTACAGGGCTCAGAGTATCGTAGATTTTCTCAGAAATTTCACAGTAGAAGTAACAGGAGTCGGCGATGTGTGCTCCTTCGCACAACTTGATGTACGTCGGCATGGCAATCGAGCCTGGTTATCCGGAGACCTTACCGAGGCTGAAGATTTGAGCCAAGCGGAAAACGGGAAAACTGAGCTGTCTCTATTACATTTCTCGGTAAGCCTAACTTTTAATTAAATAGATTCTGATGACTATCTGCCGTAGGGGACCGCAGTGCAATGAAGAGTTTAGACCTCATGCTTTCGCTAGCAACAATTGCAACCTTTCTGTTGTCTCAAAAAAATGTTTCTTTAATATTCTTTAATAATTTAAAACGTGACTTTTAACGAATTCCCTGACATTGTAGCCCCAATAGTATTGGAAGAAAATTCCCATGCTCCAACGTCTCAATTTTTAATCAGTTTTTCATCGTTAAAAAGCCTTTATCCTACTTTCCTTTGGAAATCATTTTCAAATGTTTATATTTTATGACCTGGTTATCCATTAAGTAGATGAACAATTTTATCAGTGAAATTAAATTTCATAATAAGTAAGAAGCGCATATATTAAGATGAGAGCACAAAGATCTACTTATTGTCAAGGGTGTCTAAACGTCCTGACGGGGTCATTTCATGGTTCGCATAATGTTCTACTATGTTAGTTTTCAAAACATTAACACAAGAAATCTTTTATTAAAGTTTAATTGATACCTCTTATGTTGGAAATGTGAATATTTGCAAATTCTTCTGTAATTCGAAACTGGAATAAAACAATTGGCCTTTAACGAAAACGTCACGAAAAAGACCACATGAAATATGAAATTACCAAAAGCAAGGCTAAGGGGTTGAGTTACATTCCCAAAGAATGAGGTGAATGATCCGTGCGCTGCTTTTGTGCTTCACAGTAACCAGTTTATGTTCTTTGGTAAAAACGATTCTATTGAAACAAAAATTTTTACATATTCCTCTGGATCACTTCCCTGGATCCTTGATATATGGTATTGCTTGGACTGTCCTATACTGTACTGAACATCAAGGGTTCGTGGATCCTTGACAAAATGTCGCTAGCAGCTATACTCTAGTAAAATCAAATACAATTATTATTGCTGGAAATTGTTTCCTATGATAAATGAATCAATATTCCTATGGTTTATGAATGTTCGTTCTACTCGTGAACATTTTCTTCAACAAATTTGAATAGGCAAGCGGCACCGGTTGGGCAGCCCCAACAGCCTCAATATGCTCGCGTTTCTGATTGGCCTATTTCGATCCGCAACTGGGTATATATATTTTCTATCGTAAAGATTTCGGTCTATGTTCTGACGTTCTATACTCTGTAGAATGTCAGACGAAAAGCTTTCGGATGACTCAAAATGTTTACTTTTTACAATATCATTTGTAAATTTGAATTCGTTTGCTCATATGAGAGCTACTACTGTCATTTGTTGACAATTAGCTTTGTATCTCTAGATTAAAAACCCTGCGTGGAAGCCTTCAGAAAGTGGGGAGCGCCTAATCACAGCTATTAGAGAAGAAGGTAAATATTTTCTGCTTTGCCCATTCTCTCAAATTAGATCTTGTAACATTCCCTTGAAAACCAAACTCCAGTTTTCAGCTTACTTCTAGTTCGATGATGTACACTGAAACCATTTATAAGGAACCAAACAATTTTAAGATGTTGTTTTAAGATGACCAAAAATGTTTTGAAGCCATCGTTAAATGTCAAAACGTCTTGGATTATCGATTTCATGATTCAGCTTTGATGTGAATAATTGAAGAAATTTTGTGAAATTATATTTTTTCGTCTTATTTTTTTTACTTTGGTTCTTTCTTATTTTTTCATTATAAAGTATAATTTCCGTTCACTCACTTTTTCAGCCCTAAAGGAATCACTCACGATGTCTGGTTCCTCCCCATTCCCCTCTTTGCAGCCGCACCCCTCATTGGTAAGCCCGCTTTGATCTTTAATACATGAGTTGCGCTACAGACAACCGCAAAAGGTGCCGATGTCGATATATTTTAAATGGATGGCGACAAAGAAATACAAGAAAAAATTGCGTAAATCTAGAAGGGTTTGGAGGATTTATGCAATAAAAAAAATTCATGACTCAAATTGCTAGTTGTCGAAATTTTTAATTTATCTACCCTGTCCAGTAAGGCGCCAACATTTTTCTGTGAAATCTATGAAGTCCCGATGCTGCTCTGTATAGAAAGATAGGTTATGGGGGCTACCAATATGTTAGGGGCCTAACCCCCTTAAACCTGCCCCTACCCTTGCTTATAAACAAAACCACTGCAAGAAGACACAGTTCAGATTCTAACCTCTCAAAAAGTTAAGCTTTATATTGATTTATTTAATTTTTCTGTGAAACGTTTTAAATCTTAAATAGTAGCCGATAAACCTAGGCGTGTCAATGCAGTTAAAATCCATAACTAAATGTCAAAATTTTGTCATTAAATGTTTAATATCTGACAATGTCCTGCCCATGCTTACTTATAGCTTGCTCTGTCTGTCTTCTCTAATAGAATCCAACTACTTATCTGGTCTATTTTAGGGTGTTGGTGGAACACTCGAGGATTTCTCTATTCAATATCCATCTCTGGTAAACGTCCCCGAGAATAACGAGCAGGCCAACAATGCAACCATGTGTAACAGCATGCTCTACTTCCATATGGTAAACTCTCCTCAATTACATTTTTTTACTTGCGATTATTTTTGTACTGTATTTTTGTATTTCATGTTGTTTTATTATATACTTTTTATGATCATCTCCAAATAATTGCGTTAAATTTTGAAACTTAAAATTTCACCTGTATGAAAGTTGATTTTACATGCAATCTTTCTCATTTCGGCCGAATCGTTTCTAGATTTGAATGTTAATAAAAAAGGTTGCATGTTAACCCCCCCCCCCTCCCCCCACTTGTTGCGAAAAATGTTAAATGTTAAGAACTGAACCACCAGTAAAGCCTCTTTAATTATGTTATAGCCTCCCCCCACTCTTTTAGACCCCCCTCCCCCACCCCCTTTTCTCAACGCTCTGCGTTGCCTGTGTTAAGTACTATTGTTTCAGTTTGAACTTCAAAAATTGCCAAACACTGTTTGTTATGTTGTTATTTTGCTAAAACAACGCCTGCTCGTTTCGTAGTTGCATGATAAATCAGTTCATCCTGATAAACGAGCCATTGATGCCTCTGAAACCAAGAATGTCTTGCCCCAGTCTGGTTTATACCCAAGCCTCCGACGCCCGTGGCCGGATTATTCCGACTACAATGAAGATGAGCCGAGTGATAGAGACCCGGAAGATATTGAGATCGCAGCAAATACGTACGTCTTTCTGATATTACGCTCATTTCTTTAATATTTAATGAACACCATATTGCTTCGAATCATGAAATGCTTCTCAAGTACTCTAGACGAAGCTAATATATGTCGCGACAAAACCCTTCGGTTCTAGAGATTCTTCAAGTTTTCAAACCAGAGTCCAAAGCAGGCAGAATAGAAACAATTGGCTCCCTCGATGGAAATTTTATTCAGGGTTGGTTTGTAGACAAAAAAGCATTTCGATCCAGAAAATTGTTTCAAAGAATGAAAACTGATTCACAAATTTACAAAATGATCTGTCTGGTTGAATAATTAACCAAACCAGACGTTATCCTAGCTCTGCAAGGTAACAAACAGCAAGAAAATCCAAATCCTTGGCGTGCCTTCGATCGAAAATAGCAATGGATGAAGAATAGCCCATTTGATTGGTGCCTTGTTTTCAACCAATCGGCGACCACTTTTTCCTAACATTATTGTGGTATTCGAATGAGAGAACAGGCTCATCCTGTTTACAGAAATCTTTCTGTAACTGAATGATTTGAGCAAGTAAGAATGCAAATAAGGCTAGAAACTACTAACAAAACCTTAAGGCCCCCTGACGTCACAACCGTCGTTACACTACTGCACCCTATCTCTAAAACCCTGGTCCATTCCAAGTTTGCAATCGTCACAAAATCAACCTGCCATCAACCTGCCATCAACCTCGAACGTAAGATAGAAAAACAGAAACCTTAAAATAAATTAAAATGTCTCCCGTTTAGATTTTGTCTAGAGACAAACCATTTTCTTTTTAAGGTTACAGTAAACGTTTTCTGGACGAAAGCATACATTTTTGAATTTCATCACATTCTACTAGCCGAACTTTCAATGCAGGCAATGATACCATGTTGGAAACCAACAGAAATTTTGAAAATGGAAAAAATCCCTTGTAAACGAAGGTTTCCATGTTTTCTTTAGCAAAGTTTCTAGTTTAGACAGGGAATTTTTAACAACAATCGAGCAAAGTGCCTAACCTTAGTTTTTGCTCTTGATTTGGGTACTTTCAGCCTTGCTGAGTATTTTAAGCCTTGGATACATTTTTGTAACACAATAGAAATCACGTGATCGATGACGTCATTTCCCCCGGTCATTAAAATTTTTAGTTCTTTTTTTTGAAAAATCGCTCCAACCATCTTGTTTGGCATTGTAATAGGAGCAAAAAGTTCTAAAGAATAAACTCTATCAGACCTGCAGATAACGAGTTATTGCTATTTAAAGTTTGCATGACGTCATCAAAATGGCGGTTTTGTAGTTTTTAAGCACGTGGAATTCAAAGGCTCATGGTCATAATTTAGGTTGCTTTACCTCGATTTTGAAGTTTTTTTACCTTTGTGTTATTCGGCAACTCAATAATGTCATTTGAGCTTATATATTTGCACGCCTGGGAAACTAAGTATTGAACAAAATGCATGCAAAAGGAAAATGTTCTAATAAAAATTTTTCTTCAAAAAAGCTATACTGAAGAGAAGCTTTCGTCAGCAATGAAAGACCGTCGATTCGTCAGCATTGTCGCTTGGCAATGAACTCCAACTTTTACAGCAGCTAGAGAGTGCAATATTAAATAGCACTTACATGCCAAGCATGACTTGATACCTCTTGCACTCAATCATCACAATTACAGGCAATGTTGCAGTTATCAGAATGTCTGTCGAAGTCATTTGAAGGAAACGATGCATCTAGCTTTCTCAGATCGGAAAGTTACGGGAATGAGTGCAAGTATTGCTCGCAAGCCATATTCCAAAATTTCAAAACGAATTGTTCAATAGACAGACAAATATTACATCAGGACCTTTTCGATACAGCTTCATACATGGAAGTTTATACATGCGTTAACTTGATTCATACGCATTGCATGGTCAGAGTAGCTCTTGGAAAGAAATTACATATCAAGACAGCTTCGAAAGATAACGAGTCAACAAAGAAATAAAGTTTCGATCGTCTAGCTCATTAAAAGTACAAAAAGCTTTTTCACTCTAATAGAGAAGTGAGCTTGAATATAGAAACCGGTGCCGCTTTCTATTGCAACACGTTCGGACTGTTCCGTGCATCATCGATTAAAAAGTTGATGCTGCAAGGCTTGCATAAATGCCATGAAATGTAAGATGGAGTTACATTCGTCATCACTATGCAAAATTAAAGTAGCCCGTAAAGAGGATTGCAAGGGTTGTGCAAAGCGAGGAAAGGATATTATGCCTTAAGTATTCTTCATTGTCATAGAGGAACACAAACATACAGAGTCTAAAGAAATAGATGCATTCGTGTTCTTGCATTCGTGTGTTCTTAAAGACGTAGACATTCGGCTTGTGCTTCATGCAGTAATGCAAGAATCAGATGTAGTCCTTATCTCAAAAAAACACTGATGTTCTTGTGCTTTTAATTTGGGCGTATAAACACACAGGTTTAACAATTATAACCATGAGAGATTCGTCAAAGTTGGAAGCATTTGCAGAAGCCTCGACAAATAACTGTGTTCTTCCCTGTCACCATTCCATGCTATCACAGGGTGTGATAACACATCCTACTTCTACAGGGCTGGGAAACTTATTAACGACGATTTAAAATACCAGCATATTAAGAACTTGGCTATTTCCTAGAAATTTGCTAATAAAGCCTTAGATGGCGCACGGGAGTTCATTCGAACGGTTGTATACAGTGACAAAAAAGTGAATTCTAAAACAATAAAATTCTATCAACAGATGAAAGAGAAGACATGTCTTTCTCTACTCAAACTGGCTTTATCAATTAGCGGAAAGAAACTATGTGGACCTTTAATTAGCCTTTGTTGAAGAAACATAGGAATAGGTTGTTGCCTTGATGGAAGCCGATATTATATTCTGTGACACGCCTCTGCTTACCAGTTGTGATGCATTTTAGTTGTCTGGAGGAAAAGGAATCGATGCCAACGGGGCGAAACTTAGATTTGAGGGCCGATTCGTGCCTTGGGTACAATTTCTTGTCGTTCTTCGTTGACTTGTTTAACTTCAAAGCTGCCTTGATATGTAATTGCTTTCCAAGAACTACACTGATTACGCAATGAGTATGAATCGTGTTAACGCATGTATAAACTTTCATGTATGAAGCTGTATCGAAAAGGTCCTGATGTAATATTTGTCTCTCTATTGAACAATTCGTTTTGAAATTTTGGAATATGGCTTGCGAGCAATACTTGCACTCTTTCCCGTAACTTTCCGATCTGAGAAAGCTAGATTCATCGTTTCCTTCAAATGACTTCGACAGACATTCTGATAACTGCAACATTGCCTGTAATTGTGATGATTGAGTGCAAGAGGTATCAAGTCATGCTTGGCATGTAAGTGCTATTTAATATTGCACTCTCTAGCTGCTGTAAAAGTTGGAGTTCATTGCCAAGCGACAATGCTGACGAATCGACGGTCTTTCATTGCTGACAAAAGCTTCTCTTCAGTATAGCTTTTTTGAAGAAAAATTTTTATTAGAACATTTTCCTTTTGCATGCATTTTGTTCAATACTTAGTTTCCCAGGCGTGCAAATATATCAGCTCAAATGACATTATTGAGTTGCCGAATAACACGAAGGTAAAAAAACTTCAAAATCGAGGTAAAGCAACCTAAATTATGACCATGAGCCTTTGAATTCCACGTGCTTGAAAACTACAAAACCGCCATTTTGATGACGTCATGCAAACTTTAAATAGCAATAACTCGTTATCTGCAGGTCTGATAGAGTTTATTCTTTAGAACTTTTTGCTCCTATTACAATGCCAAACAAGATGGTTGGAGCGATTTTTCAAAAAAAAGAATTGAAAATTTTAATGACCGGGGAAAATGACGTCATCGATCACGTGATTTTTATTGTGTTACAAAAATGTATCCAAGGCTTAAAATATTCAGCAAGGCTGAAAGTACCCAAATCAAGAGCAAAAACTAAGGTTAGGCACTTTGCTCGATTGTTGTTAAAAATTCCCTGTCTAGTTGTTGTCTGAGAACCTCTTGACCTGTTGAGCCAATGATCGTTGCTTTGTGATTGTGGTCGCATCGCATGGCACGCCTATGTATCCCATATATGCCTGTGTTAATTCAAACAGGCTAATTGATCTTTAAGCTTCAAATAACTTGACCCGGATTACACTGTGGTTTGCGGGTGTACCTTTCAAGTGCCATCAGTAAAATCCCGTTTTCTCCGGACACAAAATTCTTCTACATACAAGTACAAAAACTATTTTGTACCCAAGGAACCAATCGAAGGCGGTCAGGACCGATGTTGGGTAAGCAAAATGTGTCTCAAAATGTTTGTTTTTTCTCTGGTCCGTCTTTGTAGCCAATTACAACTACGGGAGGGTAGAAGAACTGTTTACCAATTTTTGACAGGGTATAGATTCAAGAGGAGAAGAAAACTGAAAAATCCGAGACACTTTGATAGCTTAGGATCTGCGCTTTCTGCTGATATGAGTCAGATTTTGGTACCTTAAAGGCAAGGATTCAAAATAGCTTTTGAAGGTGGTATACGCATTTAAGCAAAAAGTACGCCTGGAAGGTATCATTTTACAATATTTGCCAGTTATTTTGATATGATTTGAATCGCAACATTCTTGTGCATCGAATGATGTATAGTTTTATTCAATGCCGTTATAGTTTGGCTTTTAGGTAAAGAAAACGAAATATTGTGTCTAAAACGTTTACCTTAACCTTAACTACGCACACGAGTGGAATACTCAAGGAACTTATGCGAAGTGGTCTACGTCATCAAGCTCTCTGCTTTTGCGGTTAAGGGACGTCAATTGTATGTTCATTGATTGCCTACTTGGTGCCTGGCTTTGCTATCGATTTCACTTCTTAACAGGTGCTTGCATTCAGCGGTGTGTTCCGTTGGTGGCTTGTTCGCGCTCTATTTGCATTTTTTTGTTGCTTAACGGAAATTTTACTTGTAAAGTGAAACTTGAGACATTTTGTTTAGAGAAGAACAAAAAAGTCGTCATTGCCCTAATAGGATCACGTTGAAGCGCTTGATCCTGATATTCACATTTTTAACCTAGCCTCGCGAATGAACAAGTTTAAACACAGCTACATTTTAATCCCTAGACATATATATATATACTATCTATCACAAATTACCAAATTATTTTAGGAATGGCTGCACAAATCTTTTGATACTTCAGGCTAACTTTGATGAGAACTTTTGACCTTATGCTGTGGGTGGTGTCGCCAATATGGCAAATACGCAATCGTAAGATAACCATTATTTTGACTTAAGTTATTCGAAAGAATAAAACTTATATGGCGTCCAAAGAGTCCTGATTGTTAGATTTATTACAAGGAACAAGGGGCGTAGGGGTGCGTGCCACCACTTTTCAGAACCATAAATCAAGTTCCTTTTTGCAGCACATGAGGGGGGTGGGGCTTTTTCCCGTCATGTGCCCCAACTTTTGAAATGCTTCATACGTCTGTGTCTATGATCCTATCAGCTACCGTTTATTTTGGCAGTTTTCACTGCTTTGACACTGTCTTTCATTTTTTTTGTTAGGACAAACGAAACAAAATTTTAGCTCCTGAGCTGGCAGCCACCCTCGTTGTTGATTTGATATTCGCAGTTTTGGACATCTTGTGTATAGAAAAACTTGTAATTTGTTAATAGCAAACATGTATTTATGTATGTAATCAACGCAATGTTTCTAAAAATTGTAATCAGTTGTTTTCATCAAAAAATTTTCAATTATATTGGCGTTACCAAATTGCTCCTTCTTTTCATTTCTACCTTTGTTTGATATGAATTGATTATTAATAAATTAAGTGAATAAATTAAGTGAATAAATTAAGTGAATAAATGCGTTAATAAGCTAAAAGATAGACATGAGTATATGAATAGATCATAAATAGAGTTTCTGATGATGATAGTGTACTTTGTCTATCTAGACGTTTGCAAGAGCAATTTTAAAGGAGTAGCAAAGAAGAGCCCGATTTTCTCACGGAGTATGTTTCTACAAACATTTATCTTTTCCCTACTATTCCATATTGTTTACGCTGCATGCAAATCGTTATTTGTAACCTCTCCTTTGCTACATTAGCCCCTTTCCACCTTACCCTCTTGCCCCATTCCATCCTTGACCCGCAGTCAGACGGGTCATTTTTCAGCACTGTGCAGAATTGCCATATAAGGGGCTCCATTACTGCCCCTGTATATCATGGGGTGTTTTCCAATATCTTAAAGGGGCATAGTGTTTGCCGCATCCAAGCGTTGTGAATAGCAAAACATGGTAGATTTTCTTGTAAAGTGTGGTTCATGTTGTTGAGGATATTCTCGACTACGTTTGAGGGCTATGTGTAGAGGATTGTAAATTGGTGTTCTACTGCTGAGGTTTGGTAAGATTCTCTCGTGACCCAGACAGACAGTGAAAAGAACAAATATAAATGTGCGAAACATTATTCAGTTCTGAAAAAACCACGAATTGAATTGTAATTGAATCTTTGAAATAATATATATCCAAACATGATGCTATGACAATATTTTGCCACAAAACAAAAATGGCACACCTGCCTGCCTGCCTCTCTTTGCTCTTACAGTGCGCAGTCAATGTCTCATAGTCTAAATTTGCTTGCACATTGGGGACCCTCTCTACTCAAATTCACTAACAGTTGATTCCACTATAGAAGTAAGGTTTGATACAAAGGATAACAGGGTTCATACGTCGTTGTACTGAGACATATATATGGCGTTTTGCATGCCTGTGACTTCACACCAGCTAAGGTATCATCGATAAATGTTGCCTGGTGGCTGTAATTGTAATCTTATGGGAAATTATTATACTACTGTGTCAATTTTGCTGAATAGCAACGATCTTGAGGTTTTATATGGTTCATTGTTTGTTACTGCAGGCGCCACCCAGGTGAAATTTTTTACTCACAGTCGCCAATCACTCATTATTTAAGGTTTAATTTTTCACCGCCGTATACTTGATATAGGAGCACTAGAATCGGTAAAACAAGGAGGTAAACTAACATTTTTACTCCTAACCCAAGTAAGAAATCCAAATTCAGTGCGAAGACGTTAAATTTTGTACTAAATCTATGCCGTTGATTAAATTTGTTTATTTTGGTGAGCCCTTCTTTGCAAGAACGTCACACTAAACGTTACAGAAAAGCACTTGAATGGTAAGGGGTCAACCCAGCAGTTAGTTTTTGTCTTCAATAATGGACATCTTCATGGCATTTCAGTATTATTTTTCAAGTTATTGTTTTCGGCAAATCTAATTTGCATAAACTGGTTTTTAATCACCGTTAAAAACAAAATCCTAATCGTCAGTGGTAAATTTATACAGTGTAATCACATTTTGTATCATTACATTTGACAGAGAATGAAAACCGTCGATTCCTCCTTGCCGCAAAGTCCTTTATTTAATCAAATGCCTTTTTGATATGTTTCCTATGTAGTTTTGCTTCGGTAATATAATGATTACGATGATCTTTATCATTTGAGTTACGGCTGGACCCAGGTTTCCCACCAATTAGACAAAAGTTACTTGACTTCATAATATCTAAATTTGAACAAATTTTGGTGGTTCAAGATTGGAAAATGGCTAAGATGTAGGACGTGAAACATAAAGTTTGAGGATTGGTCAGATGAGAAAGCTTTTAGTATGATTGTAGAAAGCTTTTAGAATGGTTGTAAAATTTCGTCGAAGGCATTTTCAATATCTAAATTAATAAATCGTAAAGTTGAGAACGAAAGAGATCTATGTCAGCTTCCTTGTCCAGTTACAGATTCTTTATGTCCTTCACAACTTTCGCCAATCCACGTGTCAAACAGACTCGATTTAATGGCTGGCCCACGGGCAATGTCATTAGTTAGGTCGTCCTACTTCTCCCAATGTAAAGAGCTGTTTGCGTAGTTGAGAACATTATACAGTTCCTCGAATCGTCAAGTAAACAGAAAGTCTATTAAGTAAATCCTCTACGTTGATTTCTGTTTGACTTGCCCTATAGACAAGAATCAAAGCGCCCTTCCTGACATCTTGAAGAAGTGAATTTAATTTGGATAGATAGAATTCTTATCAGTTTGCTGCTGTTGTTTTGCAGGAAACCAGATTATTTTCTTTTAGCGTCGAAGCCTCATGATTGTGTAATTATTAATCATAATCTATGCAAACTTCGAATAATTCAAATTTTCGATTAAACTAACTGATTTTGCTTTCGTCCAAGAAAAGTTTAGAACCCTGTCTGTAGCTCCAAAGAGAAGCTATGGCTTTGCCAACTCTAGAGATTTAAATCTAGCCTGATCGAATCAGAACTGTCCAAGTTTAAGAGAAACGAGGACAAACTTTTCTTTTTTGTAAGGCAAGACGAAAGGCAAATCACTCCAAGAAAATCTCGTACAACTTTCGTGAAAATCCTATTGTTTTATCTGAAAATCACCAGAAATCCTTTTGTTTTAGGGAAAATCTCGTACGCTATTTGCAGGAGTGAATTGCCCCTCGAGCCAAGTTACAAAATTTGCACCAGTTGGTGGGCACAGATAGGCAAACCAAGGTACTTGAAAGATTGGTATCTAAAAATGTGGTACAGATGAAGGGTTTCGTTACAGTTTATATAGAATGTACAACAACAAATGAATTTTGCATGGGTGTTATTTGACAAGGGGTAGGGGTTCATATGAAAGTGCAGGAACCTAAACTCTAATGAAAAATCTCAATTAATTTACTATATGAAAAATTACAGCCCTGTTTTCAGCTGCTAGCCATAAAGCTAATACAAACCCTGTCGGCTTTGAAGTGCCTCGCTTAATACGAATTTGACATTAAGTAGGTTTTAGACACGAAATTTGGTAAGACCCAGCCATCCTATGTACATTGCTTTGTGTAAAATCGGTTTTGTCACCAACTTTGCACGTCTTTGAAACGTACCTAGACAGTATTAATTTTCTCAGTTCATGACCTCTCTCAAGTTAACTCCTACTCAAGCGTATCTTCTTCTATGTGGGTTGATTGAAACGTAAAAGCTTGTTGAATTTAACCATATGCACTTGGTCTGTGAGACATCAGCTAGGTTTTCAGAAATAAAGAGTGTATCTCTGCAGCACTTCAAAGTATTAAAAACTGGCCATAAGACTTTAAATTTGAATAATGTTGAAAAAGACATCGGTAAATCCACTTTTTTCAAATTCCTTCTCAGACTTTGTGCGCTTTTAAATAACCAGTTAATTGATGCTCATTTTACTCTGATGAAGCCCTGTATGCCGGGGCGAAATATTAGTATACTCTTAAATTCAATTTATTTTGAAAATTTATTTCGTGACATTGGATTCGCGTCGTCGTATTGCTTTGTTCCTGTATTCCTTTCAATTGATGCTCATGCTGGCTTTTCCTAACTTTTCCAAAAATTTATTGCTCTTAATTTGCTCTTAAACTATCTGATTTCAAGCAGTGCAGTCGTTAGCTTTTGTGCTCAAGAGGAATGCTCAGGCTCCAATTGCCAACAAAGTAAGTGAGTAAGTGAGGGTTCCTTTATTTTCCGAAAATTTTGAAAATAGCCTCAGCCTCAGCTTGTTCTTCATTTGTTCTTAAATTCGACCAATGACAAGACTTGTTTTCTTATGAAATTTTTCTTTGAAAAAAGGCACGTAACTATAGAACTTGCCAGCTTCTTAAAACCCATTTTTATTCCAAGCCAAAATCTATATACTTGATCCTACGTCGCTCTTCTTGATGCTTTCCTCTTTTTCCTTCTTAAGCGTGTTATATACTATTCAAACTGCAATAAAGAACACCATTGGATTGAATTTTTTTGACATCTTGCTTTCTCTGTTTCACGTTACAAAAAGAACCCAGGTCTCAAAGGAAATGATCGATAAAAGGTGCTTTCTTAGAGGCAATTAACGCAGAGGAATAACAAACGAAGCAGCTGCTAAAAAAAATTCAATATTCGGCCAATTTGGAGAATTATCCAGATAAATCTAATATAAGCCAAATTTTTGGTTTAATCCAAAACAAATTTTGAAAGTCAAACAAGCTTTGACACATTTTGATTTGTGTCATTTGGATTTGAAGAATTCAAACCAGCAACTGTAGGCCTACCAGAAACTAAAAGAGCGACTTCGGTGCGTTTGTAACCGTTATATATTCATTCATTCTTCTTGCCCAGACCAATATGACCCTCCCTGGACCGGTATGACCCTGGTGTCATATTGGTCTGGACCGCGGGTCATATTGGTTTAAGGGGTCATATCAGTCTGGAACAATATTATTCTATTATTGTTAATTCTGAAGAGAGACATTTCGGCTTCAAAAATTTGCTTTTGAAAATTCAGATTGCACTAGGGTTCCCATAAGGATCTCATAAGAAACTCAAATCGTTCATGAAAATACATGTGCATTCTAGCACTGCTTACCAAATTCAAGCAAAGTCCTCAGGTATTTTTAAGGACTTCAACTAGTGGGGATTCAAAAGGGCCCACTAGGACAAGCAAATGGGCCCCACTTGAATGAATTTCCAACCAGTCGGTACGTTAAAAGCGTCGAATACGGATTCCGTGCTGCATGAAAACTTCTTGATTCAAATAACATCTTGATCAAAACGTCTCGAATTCAAGGAGGTAGTAAGCATTATGAAAGTGGGGGACAAATGTTTAAAGGGACACCCTAGCAAACACTTTATAGGGTTTAAAAGCCTGTTTAAGAGACACTTTAACAAAGATTACAGAAAGGTTAAAAAAGGCTGTTACATGAAGCCTGAGTACAATGATATCATCTTCTGACTGATTTGTGAGCATTGCCGCCGAAAGATTTTCGGACCCCTCGTGGCACAACCGATAGAGGAAGCCTTTGCGAGCGAAGCGAGCAGACAAATTTTGGCAACCATGCCCTTTAGATTTGCTTAAAATACAATTCAGAATATTTTTGCAGTCATTTTCTTGCAATCGTTTAAAAAGGTGTACAATTTATGTTATGTCTTACTAATTGCTTTCACAAGCTGGAAACCTCGAAGCCCCCCTAAATTCCCTAATGCCCAAAGCCAATTTGCCATCACCACCACCTTTCGGTAACCCTGGTTTTGATCTTGTTTTTTGGGGTTCTTAAAAGCAGATCGAATAGAAACATTTTATATATTGACCCAAAAAGGTAACCCCTTTGCTCATTTCGTATGGTACCTGAGCAATTCAAGGGGGCTTTTTGATTATGCAGTTAGCAAAAACAGCAACTCGTTGAGCTGCAAAGGGGGATGTAGCCTGACTTTTGGAAAAAAGGGGGCACGTGCCCACTGTGCCCCCGGTCCCTACCCCTTTGCTTGAATTTAAGACATCATTAATGCCTTGACTCATACATCAAGCATTTGCGAATCAACATGGGTAGCAATCCGAAATATCTTCAGCATGATCATGAAAGTTAAAGAGAACTCATCAACGAAATGTTTTTGGTGGTCGAATTGCTTGGCAAGTCAATTTTCAGTTCTTGTCAAAACGGAAAATATTGACTTTACACTTGCATGTAGGTATCAAGAGATACTTGAAACCTAGATTTCATTAGCATTCAAAATATTGATAAAAATTGATATTGCTTGGAAATCAATTACATGAAAAGGGCGCTTTGCTGCTCCTATGCTGCCCCCGCATCACTAAGGCAACGGGGGCGGTTGCTCCCGCTGCCCCCGTGGCTCTGGCGCCCTTGCTCACACCCCTTTCCTCACACTGATTATGCAGTTATTTCTTTTTGAGCATCGATCTAAGCAGTCTTACAGGCAGATGTTCTGGAAGTCTGACGAAAACAAGATAAAACGAGAAAGCTGAAACAATTTCAGATTGCGTCTTTGCTTGTAGAATTTCAGATCGCGACAATTTCAGATTGCGTCGAAGAATGTTTGCAGCTAGGATATAAACAGACAACCGGAATAAAGAACTGGCTGTTTTAGCAAATCACAAGCGAAAGAAAATGAGTGGAAGGTAGGAAACATTGTCTTTAAGCATAATGTAACATGAAATCTTATCATTTCATCAAATAACAAAGATGGTACGAAAATTTCGTAAATTATAAGTTTATATTCTACAGATAGCGTTGAATAAGAATTTTCAGCACATGTGACAGTTTCATATGCTGTAATGATATAACTGTGATTAAGTGATGAAATTGCAATAAGGGACTTATAACTGGTAGATTCGAGGTAAAATTGTACTGTACAAGCGATAATTTTTCTTAATAATTCCCGTGGTTGCATAATTCCAATTCGTCCTTTAACACAATAATTAGCAGTAAAATTTTAGGCCTATTGAAGGTGTGACAGAGGTACATGCAACCTACTGGAAAGGGAATAAAATGGTCTGCCATATCCTTTCACTTTTTAGCAAATATATCATCGATTTGGCATTGACCTAGCAAAGCTGGAGAATATTATACGCCAAATCTTTAGGCCTAGTCAGCCATTCCAACATGGCGAACGCCCTTTAGACTCCAGTCTGAAAACAACGACATAGGACACAAGAAGTACCTTTGCAAAAATTCAATGAGAATTTGATGCTTGTGGATTCTATCCCACTTGGGAGTAGGAAACAGCATAGTTTAGTTTTTTTACTTGCTTTTTTTCCTTCTTATGAATCTCAAAGGAATCTTTTTTTCGACGTTTTTTGAAAACGAAAAATATCTTTTTTGACTGCATTACAACATAGATTAGGGTTGGAGCCTTGCTGGATCATGGGTCAGTAGAGGTTTTATGGTTTTTAATCTATTGATTTTCACGCTCCTGTTTCATTAAATTATGTTTTTGAAATTTCCTTCAACTCTAGATTTACAGACCCTAAACGTGCCATGAATGAGACTTCAGAAGACGCAGTTATTCGTGATCACCATATTTTGGTCAAGCTTAAAATGAGGTGCGTTTTTATTAACGATGATATCGATAATGATTTCGTGTGTAACTGAAAACCTGGTCGTATTAGAGAAAACATGACTGGAAATTTGCTTTTAGACATGAATAGCACAGATAAAGAAATCTTTTAGATGGGCCAAAATTGCAATATTGCGGAATATAATTGCACCTGTTCTATAGCGACACCGCAGTAGCAACGTGAGGAGGTGGCGTTTGAGTACATTATCACCTTAACAAGCGTTGTTTCTTTAAATGAATACTGGAACCATAATTTGAAGGCTGCCAGAGTCAAGATAACTGTTTGTCCTTCCTCCAGACAATTTTCTCAAGGTTGAAAGCCTTCTTCAGAAAACAAAGAAAGTATGGCGGTATCCGGACATTGCACTCTCATTTCTATCTTTGTTTCCATCGGCTTATCTCGCGGAATTTGAGCGTCTAACCATAACCTCAGCATGTTGGTATAACGAATGCAAGTCTCCACAATCGACAGATACTTGAGTTGCGTCAACTATCTTTTGATCAACTATTGGCCAATGAATAGACGCTTGAGTGGTGTCACGCTTATTGATTGGCTAATTTTGATTGACAGATGTCTAGGGCAACTTTCCGTCATTTGAAGGCTGTTGTGCAACCGACATGCTTAGCGGCAGCTATCTTGAGAAATTGAAGGTGTTTAGTATTTTCATGCAGTACGATACAAGACCGGTTTTGATAATATAGTTGCAAAGCATATCCGAAACAATTCTTGAAAATTACTCCCCGACAATATTTTTTCAGGAGAATTTTCATTATTTGACCTTGGTTGCAGAAACCAAACAACTTTTTTCATTTATGTTCATAAATTGTCACTCAATTTTGTTGATAGTAAATAAAATGTTAAATTTAGTCAAAGTTCAAATAAATGCATTTTAGTCAAAGTTGTGTCGAGAAAGGTCTGAAAAAGCAAAGAAATATATAAAGCTAAGTTAAATGGTTACGAGTATAAGAGAAGAGCTAAAATGGATTCTAAACAACACTGAATACAATAGATGCAAGGGGGGCGAGGCACACGATCGCTGATGCCATCTGTGGTACGGAAAGTGATTATTCATGCTACTATCGATTTTTCCAATATTCCCCGAAACAATGAATTATACATTTCTCATCTTCTCCAATTACATCTCTTGACATTTCAAATCTGCCAGGTACCATTTCAAATTTTACTTCCGGTCACGCGACAAGGCAAAATTTCATTTTACGGTGAAAAAATTGAAAGTCATTTTTTTATAAATCTGAGGCAACCATTGGAAAAGGGATCAAAAGAGATGAAAAAATCTATAAACATCAACC